ACAAAAACAAGCTGACTTACACAAATACTTTAATTAATTAGTAAACTTACTACAGTTTTCATTTATCAGTAATTATTAATGATCGATTAGGTAACCTAGATACACTTATTTACTGCAAAATGCATTTAAATGGGTTTCTGTAAGAACTGAGCAAGTTATGTGTTCACTGGGTGGATGCTAAACAGATAGCGGTTTCCAGCAGAGAGCAAAAGGAGCACAGCATATTTTGTTCTTATCAGAGAGAGAATGAACCTTCATTTGAGATGCTATTTGTCATGTGATGTTTGCACGGTGCAGCAAAAGTCTTTTAATCTTTCAACTCTTTCAAAATAAGTTCCCTGTATGCTGAAGTCTGATAACTATAGGCTGCATAAAGGAACTTGTTTGAAGAAAATGAAGTCTATAGAAACCTGACAGAGTAATGCAGTTGAAATAGCATAAGCTGAGTTTTTGATGTCTGTAGCTGAATTCACTGCACGGACTTAGGAGCACCTCTGAATACCATGTTCAAAGAATATAGTTGCTTTACACACAAATGTTAAAACAGTCTCCACAAACAGCAGTGTCTTCTCTGGGCCTGAGTTCCTTTAAGGCGAGGTGGAAAAGTTGTCTTTTAAAATGGTGAGTAAAAAATTGTGTTGTTGTTTTTCAAACATTCACAGATGCTGTATGCTCAAAATACAGCATCTGCAATGATATGGCGGTACATCAGTGCACATGGCACATCTGTGAAGGCACCACTAATGCTGAACAATATGTGCAGGTTTAGGAGGAACATATGATGCCACCCAAATGACTTTTTCCTTTTCAAGGAAGCCCTTGCTTAATTCAGTGAGACAATGCCAACACAAAGATGGAGTGAGATGTTGCTACACCCACTCTCCGACCACAGTGTGACCGTACTTGGCTTCAGGACTTCGGGTGAGCAGTGGAGATGTTCGGTTCCCTGAATATTGAACCGTCAGTGGATCTGTCAGTGGAATTCGTCATTGTTGGTGCTGTTTGAATCCAGTTTGAATCAACACATTGTTTGGATTCCTCCATCAGATGACACGGAGGACATTCAAATGACTCCAGCTGTGGTCAGTGGTTTTGGATCCTGACCAGCCTCTGCTCCACTTAACGCACATGCAGCTGAAGACTTTGTCTAACACCTGTTTGAGCTCCACTGCCACGAGGACAGATTACTACCTCATACCACGATACCTGCATTGATTTTACATTTAAGCTCTTCATTGTATCACACTGAGATTCTGAGCTTTTCGCTTTTTTGTCTTAACTGAGCTCCTTGTTTAGTGTAATTTTGTTTTTTGAGCTATTTTCTTCTGTGACAGCCGTGACATAGTAGTAAATAAAGTATGTGTTATCTTATGTTAAGCTATCTTATCCTAAAGAAATCGACATGCTTGCATTTGCAGATCACTTCACGGTTCGTAACTCCACCTAAATCTCTGCTTTTGTAAAAACCGGGCTGACGAGCATTCGATGTGATACAGTGTAAAGAGTATAAAGATGTTGTTTTCACTCATGCTTCTCAGCTTCATGCCTGCATAAATGACATGGGAGGATGTAAAGCCTGAGGGTATGCATTACTCCGGGCGAGCTTGTAAACTAAGTGGTCTTATCATACTCTCATCTGTCCGCAGCAGCAATAATGAAAGCGGAGGAGGGCGTGGTGGGGCCGAAGCCATGTGTGTGTGTAGCTGTATGTAAGTGTGTCAGGGCATGTTGTCTGAACCTAAAATCTCTTAAGGTTTTGACAATAATGATTGACAATAATGATGTTAAGGAAGCGAGGCGGCAGGTTTAATTGGCATGTCTGAAGTCACATAGTCTCTCTCACACACACACATACACACACTTAGCCTAAACAGCCCCATAATAGTCCCAAAATATAAACCCACCCTGGAAGCATGGCTACAAATACCCTCCTCTCCACACTGGTCAGCAGAGAGGGAACCGCACAGAGACGCACAGTTGGACCCGAGACAGCTTAGAGTCGAAATCCAAAGAGAAAACCAGAGATTTTAAGGTGAGCAAAGGGTTTGTTTTCAGATTCATTTTGTTGTGTGACTGCACCCTTACAGGGAATCAAGACTCACAATCTCTCTTTTGCGCTGTTCAGATGCTTGGCTCTAGATGGATGCTGCCCTTCCTGGCTCTTTACCTGCTGCTGGAGGAGATATCTGCTGCTGTCATACCAAGCAGATCCAGAAACAAGAGGGTAAGCCCTTTTTGTTTTTTTTATTAACAGACATTAAATTTATTACCACTTTCGGACAAGCAATTTAAACAGCTACTGGCATTTAATCCTTTGCCATCTTATTGAATGATCTGATTACGTCCTCAGGAGGACACCTTAATGGACCAAGAAGTCTTTTCCCACCTGTTCGATCACTTGGACATGAGCGACCTCTCTGTGGGTGACGCAGGGGGGATGGTGGGAGATGTGGACAATGGCTCCTTTCAGTCAGAGACTTTCATCGCCCCGACAGAACACCTTCCCGCCCAGCGGCAGCACCCGAACCAGCACCAGCATACCCGGAAAGCCAATGAGAAGAGGTTAGGACAAATGGCTCTAGATATTGTCGAACAGTTGGTTATACAGCCACACGTGATAGAGAAACGGTGTAAATAGTGCAAATTAGCTGTAAATACAGCAACTATGTGCTTATGCAGCTTATATAAACTGACAAGTTATGATTTATGGGGATGATTGTTACTTATATTAGATGTATTAATCCTATGATGTAATTTACAACAAAGGACACTTGTAAATTTGGAGTCAAGTAGATGAAGATGAATATCTTAACGCTTTTGAAGATTTTTAGCTCTTGGCCAAAATACATGTAATTCTGATGTAAAAATGAGAAGATCAAATGATCAGTCCAGAGCCAAATGATGTCTTTTGATTTGATGCTTGCACGTATTTGATTCCCTGATGTTGTGTTGAATTCTGACTGCCTTCCTCTCTACAGGAGGAAGGTCGCTCCTCTGGACCCCATTGGCGGCTTTCAAATATCCAGCTTCAGAACCCGAATGGTGAGCGGCAAATGACACTTATCCCCATTTTCCCACTAAATAACCTGCATTGCAGCGACATTTAAATGCCACAAGCTCAACACACTCGCACTGTTGATACATAAAGTATACATGTGGGCCTGAAACATCGATGGCTTTAGCTTTAAACAGAAGTTATTATTCAGATTATTTTTAGCAGACTGCAAAGTAAAAAATATGCAAACAGAACTATATGCTGTCCCATTCAGTGCAAAGAAAGCAATCTATTCCTAAACTTGTATTCTATGAACAAATATCTAATAAATAGTTTAAAATATACATAAATACATATATGTATGTGTGCATGTGCTTGAGTCATTGAAGCCATTATTGCTTGAATGGCCTATTTACATATGCAGTTATCATCTTTCATGGCTTGTGTAAGTTTTCTATGACACTGGTAGCCATTTCTAGCCACTACAACAATGCTTCAGCATTAATAATTTAAAAACCTTGCACTTGTCTAATATGAAGAACTGAGCATTTATATATTTGTTTTGCAGGATGAACCAGACCTCCACAGGGAAGATTATCAGAACTAGAAAGCCTACTAAATATCACGCATGAATTTTTGTATAACTTGGCATTTATTCAGTATCTGTGCCATACTAACGAGTGAGATTCCTGCCAGCTGTCGCCCTCTGCTGGTAGAAGACAAAACCTGACAAACACTGCTGTGTGCCAACACCTAACAAAATGTGATATGTAACTGTTTGTTTTTTGTGTGTCATTTTATTAAAGAAAATTAAAAAACTCAACCAGCATGTTCCCAAAGACTTTTATTTTTCAAGCTACAATTAAAGGAAAAAAAAACAAAACAATATCAGACTGCAGAAAATATAGAATTTGCTTGAGTATTCTCTCTTCACTTTCACATATGTACAGTTGTCAAAGAACAGGATATGTACACAGAATTTTAAGTTGTACGGAGAATGCAACTGCTACTGGAGACTTACCATGACTCTCCCACGAACAAAAGAAAAAAACGCACATGGTAAAACCAAACAACATAAACAAAATGACAACCTAGACAGCCTCAACTTGTTTTCTGTACACTACAACTTTGTTCTCGATGTGAGACAATCATATGTCCTTTTTCTGATGCGGGGTGCATCTCTAATCACCCCCTTCCTCAGAAAGCCTAGAAATAAAAAATACATATATATATATATATTTTTTTTTAAACAACCATTCATAAACGCGCCTCAGAGCTACTTTGACATCGTAAAGCACGGCAACAAACCAGTCGTCTTACAGCAATGTTCCCCCCGCCCCGATATCAGATGATTTAAATACAAAAAACAAACAAACACATAAGTAAAAACTGACTCACGGTTAATGGCTAACTGATTAATAAGCCGGACTGTGAGAAACACTAAGCACGCTGTCATGAATGCACATGACCAAGTCCGGTTTTAATTAGCTGTAGCTCATCTTAGGCCCGCCCCCAATTTTCCAAAAAAAAAAAAAAAAAAAAAAAAAGGCAGGGGTGTATTTAGGTTTTAAAAGTGCACTGCTGAAAGGATAGTTTGAGTACAACTAGATGCATATGAAGATGCAAAGTGATAAATCTTATCCGAGTCAATGAATTGAAACTCCTTATTTCAGGAGGCTTAAAGACAACCCAAGAAAAAGCTAAACACAAACTACCAGAGTACGATCAAAACCAAAACGAACTGCCCGTCTAGCATTATGACGTGCGTATAAAGTAATAACGGGAGTGACATTATCCACCTCTTAACTGACAATGTAAGCTGGGCTTCCCTCTCCCCAACTCTGCATGTGTTGTTTTGATTTAAGGTTGGGAATGATTGGACCAAGCTCAGGGTGGTACTCCGGAGACCAAAGGAGAAGGTTTTCACTAATTTGTCAATATGCGCAAGAAATAATTTACAAGTCAAAAGTGGACCTTCAGTCAATATGAGAACTATTGAGGAGAGAAAAAAAAAAAAAAAAGTATATGCACATCACCAGAACTGTAATACTAAAGCCAATCAATGCTGACGTCAATTAAGAACTTAAAAATGATTTGGAACTGTCAATATTGCCTTTTTTCCCCAGTTCTTCACAGTAGCAAAAGGGGGAACAAAAACTAGACGTGAGGGATAAATAAGAATGGTTGTGATTGTCGAAAGAAATCCAACAAACTGACTTTACAGTTGCCCTCCAGGTGATAGTTTAGGCTGTTTTGGCTGTAGGCATCAAAGAAAGTTAAGTGTCAGACAACAGCAAAAACAGATCAAACGCTTCTTTTCCTCTCCAGTCCTGCTCAGCTTTAAGTGTCTTTTTTGTGTCCCGACCGCCTCAAGTCCCTGCACTTGTGGCAGTAAAAGATGTCGGGAACGTTTGACTTCTTGATCTTTGCGCATGACAAGTGCACCCATATGCCGCACTGGTTGCACTCGATCATCGGCCGTCCCGCGAATGGCTTCCCGCAGTAACAGGTGATCAAGTCCCATGAATCATCCCCTGTGTGGATAAACAGACCAGAGTTACAGGGGGATTATGGTTGTGAGTTAGTTCAAAGTAAGCAACCACCAAGTAAATAACAGACAAAAGGTCAAAATTACAGTGTCTTACCCGATTCCACCATAATGTCTTCATCAGCGATCCATGTCTCACCCTCACTGGAGCTCATTTCTGCTTCCCTGATGGATTCATCTGGCTGCACCTTCCCCATGCTCTGCATGCTCGAAGAGGAGCCCCCGTGCCCCGGCAGCTCCTCCCTGCCAGCTCGTACCTCGGAGTGCGTATTCCGTGCCTCGGAGTCAGTCTCGCTTTGAGGAGCTGAACTCTTGAGCTTCTTAGCTTTGGGCTGTTTTGAGTTCTTGCTGCGTTTGATGCGGGCTCTTTTCTCACCCTCGCTGCTACCACTATCTGCTGCTCCCATGGCAGAATCCAGTGACAGCTTTTTCAGTTTTTTGTCCTTCTTGCGCTCTCCCTTAGTGCTGGCCTGGGTCTCATAAAGAGAGTCTTTAAGCTGCATCTTATCCAGCAGGGTGCTGTCAGAGTGCATACGCCGAATACTTTTGCCCTTATTTGCTCGAGCTTTGCGGACAAATGTATGGATGGTGTGGATGTCGGAGCCCCCATCTGCCCAGGCATTGCCATTGGAGCTGCTCCCTCCACCTCCACCATCTGCTGACAACCCCGAACTGTGTGCAGAGCTGGATGATGTTGGGGACCACGAGCTTTCCTATAAAAGCAGACAAAAACATCTTCTGTCAAAACTGCAAAGTAGTCACTACATCTAATATGATATGTTAAAAAGAAAATTGAGGAGGGGGGGGGGAGAAAAAAAAAAGCAACAGCTCACCTCTTTTGGACTGGGGATGTAACCGGCATAAGCCAGGACAAAGCTGCAGAACTTGTTGAAGTCTTCAACAGTCCTCTTCTTCTTCTCTGGGGGCTACAGGAAACATGTCTTTGTTTAAGAGAGTGAAGCTAACCTACACAGCCCTCCACAACAGAGGGCAGCTGATTCAAATAAAGTGCTCAAATGATAAAAATACTCACCAGAGGTTCCGTTTTACACGTCAACAGTGAATCTGTTGAAGAAAAAAAAAAGTCTGTAAGTCACAAGTGACCACTTTTCAACTGCTTAACAGCCACTACATTACAAAGCATACCGTTGCCGAGAGAGAGTGGACTAATGCTAGCATTAGCTTGCTAACACGGCTCAATACCTTAATCGGGATTATAAACGATGAAGCGCATGCTGGTCTTATTTGAAAACAGTGTGTTTGTAAAAGCTACGTTAAAATAACGTCCATATTTGACTGAAGGTCAATTGAGCGAAAAAAAAAAAAAAAAAAAAAAAGACCAACTAACATCTTCAAGACAACTTGTGCGTCCTTAAACAACGCAACCGGTGTCACTTTGTGACTGCTTGAACTTCACAAAATTAGTGGGTGTGTAAAAATCACTCTGGAAGAAGAGTTCGTTGTTTTCACGCCAAGTTTATAAGGAAAAGTTGACTGGATTGCTAAAAACGCGTCTGTTTGCTGGACACCATGCTTTTGGTACATTTTGTGTGTATGCTAATGCTAGGTGACGTTTAGAGGGGAAGCTAACTGAATGTTATGCAGTTTGTAGCGTTAACGGTAAACGGGCAAGAGAAAGTAACTTCATTTTACTGAGCTTTTACAACGATAGTTTTGCGTGGTCGAAGGCTTAATTTGATATTTTTAAGGGTTGTCTTGTGGCTAACAGCCTCTTGATCAGCTAGCAAACCAAGGTAGCTCTCTTGATACAGTAGTGGGAGGCTCCATAGCAGAGATAGCTTTGTGCTATCGGCTAATGTTAATCGGGCGTGTCGTGCTGGCTACCTTTGAAGTTTGAGCTTATGTCCAAAAAAGGGGGGGCATTTTTCTGAATTATATTTTTAAGCCATGTTATCTCAACTGACACGTTAGAGAGGCTTCGGTGAGTTGGTTTGCAACCGTGGCTATGCAGCTATTAAGCTATGTGGTTCGGCGCGTTAATTAACTAGCAAGCTAACGGGAACTGTGTAATAAATGTTAACGTCAAATCTATGAACTACAATCACTGTACAAAAAGTTGGAATCACACAGTCTTCACTTTTAAAGAACTTTCATGGTAGTTTAACGACAACACGTCCGACTGTCGGTCAATATCGAGCTGTGACATTATTACAACACACGCAACAACGACGTTAGCCGTAACTCACTTTAGCTTACTGTCCTCAAAACGACAGCTTTACGCGATGAACAGATTAACATCAAGTGAGGACTATTTTTCGTTGGGTTTTGTTGATAGCCCATAAGCATACCTTGGTGTTCAGACATTATGTCAAGCATTGTCGCCTCGCCGACACGGCCTCGATCCGAGAAGCAGAAACAGCAGGCGAGCTAGCCGGAGAGTGGCGGCCGTCGCTCTGCGCCTTCTCCCGGCGTGGCTGCACCTTAGCACCGGGAAACTTTGGCAGCAGAAAGCTTAGTGTGTGGAGGATCGAAGATGCTGTCCTTCAAAGAAACTCCACACTTTGTCGAAGTCGTCCTTGTATTCCCTCGAGGGGGGAATCCCAAACGGGGGGCAAACCACCACCGACCTGTCGCCACACTATTAGCCCGACAAAATACTAATACCACCGTCGCTTGTTCACAAATCTCCCACTCTTCGTCAGTGCACTAATCTAACCACAACAGAAGTGTAAACTTTCATTTAATTAACGCTGCGAATCACTGCAGATCCATGACGGAAACTTCCCTCGATGAAGTTTTTCGTTTCTTCGTCGTAGACATACAAAACGACCGAAGTTGGGGCTTTTTATTCCGCACGGTCCTCTTCGTGCGCGGCAGAAGCCTCTTGAGGCTGCCAGCGAAGGGTGTGCTGCAGTGTATGCTGGGTAATGTAGTTTAGTTTTCAGCCTTTCACCAAACGCGTTTACGGGCGTAAACGTTTAATAAACTACATTTTCCTTCATGAAGACGATTGAAGTCACAGGGAACTATGGGATACGAAGTTTTTTTTATTTACTCTAACCACCCCAAACATAGTAGCTAGCGAAATCTGCTGTACTTTCACTGGACAGGGAAAGCTTTCTTTTCCTGCGAAACATTACTTGTAGCGACTTTAGGTACTTATAATTGTTAGCTTTAAGCTATGTCGTTCTCGTGAAGGCAAATTACTCATGTTTTCTTAAGTATTCATGTTTTAAACGGCGGTGAAGCAGAGGCATGCTAACTAGCTGATGCTACCATGTTGTCTGAACTATTGCAAGGCACTGATACTGGGGCGGTTCTTATAATACAAGGTAAATATGTGAACGTTGTCGACCATAAGTATACATTGTTATCAATAATGATGACATTAATTGATGTAATTTATACTTTCATAGATTCTTGTAGTTATTCTGGGCAGCACCTACTTAAGAGCTTCATCAGTGCCGCATTGAACAAGTATGTAACCGTGTTTCCTTGTATACCTATTGTTGCCTAAAATATGTCTAAGTTGTGTATTGGCTTAAACAGTAACTGACCTGTGCTATGATTTTAGAGAAGAACCTGTCCACGTGCTTGGTTTTGATGTCAGTGAGGAAGAACTGAAAGATGGATTAACAGCATCTACTCAGAGGTATTGAACTTTAATGCTGAAACAGTTATTTGATCAACAACAAATGATGTGATTTTGCTTAAAAGTTTACTTCATCTACCAAGCGAAATGCATAACAGTACCTGCTTTCAATATTTTCCAGTGTGAGCCATTGTTACTCCATTAAAGGAGTGTGTAATATGTTTTTTCTTATGGCCATATACCATATATAGACTAACCAAAGACCCACACATTGGACAGCTAAATGGAAACATGATACACAAGGAAATACTTGATGTATTTGGTGCACATGGCAGATTCTATTACAACAGACTATTTTCTTCCTCAGAAGGCCTCTGTCCCTGCCTTCTCAGGGCAAAAACTGAGTTTTCAAAATTCTTTAAAGTTGATGTTTTAAAATTTCAGTCAATTTTATTTTTCAACACAGCCTGAACTTTCTCATGCAGCTTTCTTGCAATTTCTTTAAGTATTTAGGAAGGACATTCAAAGGTCTTCTTTAGATTTTGTTGTGTTTGCTGTTGAGATGGTCCCACACTGCTTCAGTAATGTGGAAGTCCAAATGTGGATTCATAACTCTATCAGACCTGTTTCCACTGATTTTCAGCCAAGTTCTTGTGTAATCTGGCATACCTCAGCCCTTTCTCACTGTTTCCTTAACAATATCTTCTTGACAGCCTTCCTTCCGCTGACACCATTTCTGGATCTTTAACATGGAATCAAACGTTCATCTTGTGCTTCTTTTACTTCAGGTTGCACTTTCACAGTGCTTATACGGACCCCCTTGGGTGGACTAATCGGTCGGCTTTTACAGTTCACCAGTTTTGTGTGGAGGAACTCACTCATCTGCTCAAACAAACATCACACCCCAAACCAGTGACTTTAGTAATCGACTCGCTGTCATGGATATTGAGACACATGAGTCCACCTGCTGTCTGCAAGACTCTTCAGCAGCTTAAGAAAGGTGATAATGTATCTTCTGTGTCTCTGTGTGTGTGATTTAAGGCCCATGTCTTCAGTAATTTTACAGAATGGGAGGAGGTCTGACTCCCAGCATCTGAGCATGCTTTTAATGCTTTGACCTTTTACCCATCTTTCCCTGAGCCTAATTGACCACAAATCGGATCGCATCAGCATTTCTGTTGTGCGATCTGCAGCAATACAAAACAAAACGTAACGCAGAAAAGATGCTCGTCTTGGCTTCACCCCCAAAAATCTATTAAGTGGTTATCTTTCTTTAAAAAGCATATTATGGATAAAAGGCTCTCTGTGTTCACAGTCCTTCACGGGTGGCTTATTTTTAGTTGGCTGTGCAGCACTTCCCCTGTTTAACGATTACGTTCTGTTTTCATTAGGGGGAGCCGTGAGAGCTGTTATTGGTCTGCTCCACGCAGATATGCACCAGAGGGGTACTGTGGGAAGCGTCTGCCACTTAGCTACTTCAGTTATCACAGTGGCCCCTGGAACGAAGGGAGATGAAGCAGTGGCAAAAATAACAAAGCGATCAAAGTCGGGGAAAGTTACGCAAGATGTAAGAAGAGCTTGAACTTGAATTACTATTTTAAATTCCTACAACTTTTATGAAATATTTATTGTTCTGCTTTTTGTCATTAGGAGGAGATATTCAGCATCAAAGGGGATTTCTCAGTTACTGTAGTGAGTAAAACCAGCCATGCTGGACGCAGACAGACTGAACCAGAGGAACAGCAGGTACAGCGTAACATGTGTACAACAGCTTCACACATTATATGGATAAATAAGCAAACCTGTTATGACGTAAGTGTCCTTTTTGTGTCTTGTAGACGGACCCAACAGCTAACTTGACCTTCAACATTCGCCTGTCTGACACAGAGCGCGAGGCCAAGGAGAAACTTGCTCTTCCCTTTGTCTTCAGCAAAGAGAAGTCAGACTTTTTTTCAGTGACCACATCTAATATATGTTGATTTTCTTTCTTTCTTTTTAAAACTTTTTTTTAACAAACAACCTAAAGATACAGTTCTCTTTTAATCTTGCAGGAAAACCGCTCTGCTGCAATCGGGCCCAGGTTCCGGTCGAATTCTGTATGAGCCCGATGCCAACGATGACTACGACCAGGAGGACCCTGATGATGATCTTGATGTTTAGATTTAAGGCAGGAAAATCTGCTGAAGATCCACGTTTCATCTGCTTTTTTTGCCATTGAAGGACTGAAAAGCTTTCAATGCTTTAAACTTATTTCATGTGTGCTATCTGTTGGATATGTACGAGACGTTATCATTTCACTTTTTCTAAAAATATAAACTTTATGTTGTTGTTTGTGGATAAATTATTTATTTTTTTCTGGTTGGTTATTTACAAAATAATTTATTTTTGATTTTGTGACTTTTGCACTGAAATGACTGGTTTTTTTTTCCGCACTATGATTTATTGCAGTGACTGGGACAAAAATAAATGACAGTTCACAAGTGCTTAAAGACCAAAAAAACAAACAAACAGGTTTCTCTTACACAAAACAGTATTTATTACTTGTGTGCATCTTAAAAGTCCTGGATATCTGTTCATCTGCCACATCCTATAGTAGGAATTAAATCAAATGCTGCTCACAACCAGAAAATGTCCTGGATATATATTGTCTCATTGGCAAAAATGATCTCAAACCAGTTGCTCTTTTGGGTACAATACTTAAATACTTTTTTAAATTTATGAGCCTTTGAGGTTGAGTTATAATAAATATATGTTTAAAATATGATTTGTGAAAGGGAAGGTTTACAAGGTGGTACTCAGACCTGCCACAGTGTATGGTTTGGAGACAGTGGCACTGACAAAAAGACAGGTGGTGGCAGAGCTGAAGATATTAAGATTCTTATTAGGAGTGGCCACAATGGACAGGACTAGAAATTAGTACATCAGAGGAACAGCTCAGGCTGAGCAGTTTGGAAACGAAGGCTGATATGGTTTGGACATGTACAGAGGAAGGATAGTTGATACATTGGATAAAGGGTTTTGAAGTTGGAGCTGCCTGGCAGGAGGGAAAGAGGAAGGCCACAGAGGAAGTTCATGGATGTCACAAAGGAGGATGTGCAGAGGGCTGCTGCAACAGAGGAGAAGCTAGGGAGGGGGTGAGTTGATCCACTGTGGTGGAGCAGTCCAAAGAAGTTGAAAATGTATACTGATTTATAGATGATGTCAGCAGGTAGGTCTGATGGCACTAAATAATTAGTTTTGAGCGACAGTTCGACATGAACACCGATGCCAATTGCAGTGTCAGATTTAATAGTCTGATAGTTTACAGAAATTTGATTCAAGCAACTTTTTAGCATTGAATTACAATTACCAAATCCGTGATTTACTGACAGCTGTCAAATACAGTCACACATTCATTTCAGTTTGGTTTGATATTGTCGTTATACAAGCTACACAATGCTCCAATAAATCATTACATTTCCTCTTAAAAATATACAGGCCCGTCCATTACCACCAAGTCACACGGCTTTCTCAGCAAGAGTTATGTTTACGTAAAACTCCCCATAAGTATTTATGTAAGAGTACAGCTGAAGAGCTAAAGAGCAAACTAAAAGGTGTTAATTTGAAGGTTTTAGCTGACATGCTCGTCCTCGTAGGTTTGTTTTCTTTCCACGTGGACGTGCTGCGCGCAACCAAGCTGGTCGCGGAAGTGACGGCAAGGCGGCGATGGCGGCTCGCAGTTTCATTCCGGATTTCCACTGGACTACAAACTGATTTTAACCGGCCCGGTTAGACTTTGGGGAACTTTTGCAACACTGTCTCCATTCGGAAGCCGCACAGACTCAAGTCGCGTTGAAGTGGTGCCTGTCAAGAAAGGACCCCACAGCTTTTTTGTGGTCTATTTTTCTCCAAGGTTCAAGGTGGTCACCCTGTCGAGCTAGCGGTAGCTCGGTGGCTACGAGCTAACGGTAGTTGGTATACATACAGCTAGCTCCTGAGCTAGCTTGTCAACGAGCTGCGTGCTAAGGTCCACACAGCAGCAGTCGTTGTTCTCCGGCTTTTTCTTCGACCACCTCATCGTTTGCTTGTCACCGTTACAATGCGAAGTTACCCTGTTTGATGCTAATTGTGCCGCAATTGTGCAGAGCGAGGTACTCACACGTTTGCTTGGCCTCTCCAATAATTAAGAGTTGCTAGTTTGGCGGCTGTGGCTAAACACCAGAATTTTGACTCTGTGGTAAGCAAGTCCTTTCAGTAATTACCCCTTCCCGGCAACTTGGGTGAAAACCGCGTTGCCTAGTTATTAACATGCTGAAGACCCGGCAGTGTTTACTTGGCATCCGCACTTTTCTCGGCGTTACGTCCAGAATATGGGGCTTCATCATGTACATCCTCAGGAAGCACCTACGAACGGTGAGAGGGGCTTTGAATAATGTGTGACACTTTTCCGTGCAAGTCTTTACTTTGCTATGACTCCAGTGTGCCTGAATGTTTTAGTTTTAAATGAAACCCACCTGATGAAAAGCTTGGTTGGTTTTCAGAGAGCCAAATTACTGGCGCTCTCCACCTGAGATGTCATAATATTATGACAGTTTTTTACATGTCAGAAGCCTCAGCCTCCCAGTTAGTTATCAAAAAGTATTGCTTAATTATTTATAACAACTATTTTTTCCACAATTAAGTTTTCTTTTAGTTAAAACAGTCAATTGAACCTTTATTGTAAAGCATCAGACAGATTCCCGCAAATGAAGTATATAATGAGTCAGTGAGTCAAGTGCGCCAAAATATCCTCATGACTGCTTTAATTAATTAGAAGTTCCACTAATTATCTCATTTTAAATTGGTACTTGTCAAATCTCTTTAGGTTATGGTCACAAGTCTTTAAATGGTCTAAAACCTAAAAGGCTAGTTAAATTTTTTTAAAAGAAATGTCAAAATGTTTCTAAATCTAAAACCTTTCGATAATTAGCCCACCCCACCACATGTATTGCATGATAAGTTATCAAAACTGTTGCAGATTCATTTATGAATGATTGGTCAAACCTCAAAACTGTGTCGTTTTTTTGTTTGTCTTTTTTAATTGCAGGACTGCTTTATCCGGCTGCAGTGCTCAGTGAAAACTGCTACAGCCAAACCCCAAATTTAAAGTGCATTAAGCGTGCAGGTCACCTTCAATCGCTCAGAAATGCCTCCACAATAAACATGGCATTTAAGGTGACATAAGCCACCTGTTTGTAACTTAGACATATGCGCAGGTGTCGTGGTGTCGTTAATAGATGTGCATATGTGGTGTAACATGAGTGGACTTCGGCTCAAGCGCCATATCAAACCAACAAAGCTTGGAGGACTGCCTCGTGTGTTGTAATCATCTTGCTGTTTAGAGGTTTGTCTGTAGTTGATTGTGTGGCAGTAACACCTCAGGCCCTGAGTGTGAATAGTTCAGTCCATGTTGTGGCTGAAGTGAGAGGGATTAAGTCAGCACAGAGAGTGCACTGTTCTCCCTCTCTCTGCCTCTGTTTCTCTCGTTCTCTCTCGCAGTTTAGCTCTCTTGTGCATGGTCTGTGATGCACTGGAAATTTGTCATGATGATCCAAGTGCAGGGCATCTATTATGCTGATATGGCGGGGTTAGGGTTGGGGCTGTTTAGAGGGAAGTGTGTGTGTATATATGTTCTCACAACTGGGATAACCAGTTTTCTACACTTAATAATAACCTCTTGTTTATCCACAATACGTAGATCTAAATGAAGATAAGATTAATTGGATTATGTATTTTAGGAACCGGTCATAATCCCAGGCACGCTATCCCATGTCAACAAATGACGAGGTGGTTGGTTATTAATCTTACCCACATCAGTGTTACATAATCGTTGTGTTTATCATTCTGCATGCAACAATTGGCTAAGCAAAAAATAACTACCAGCTTACATAGCTGATATTTGTACTTCACTGATTAGCTGATTAAGAATAAATCTGCAATGGTTTTCATAACTAATTAATGAATAATATACTTTTTTTAAAGCAGCGTTGCTCCAAATCATCCACTGTATCTTCTTTCTGCAGATCTAATGGTTAAATTAATGTCTTTATTAATCCAAAACAAGCAGCCTGAATATGTTGTCTTCAGCTCTGAAACGAACACGAACCAATTAATTAAATTGTTTTACAAATTAATTAAGGGGAAAAAATGTTAGTTGCTGCCATCGTCCATTTCTAGTCATTAATTATGTCCTGAGTGTTCTGGTTAAAGGAACAGAGGCCCGCTGCTACATGAGGGTTTTTCCTGCGTTTGAAAGATTTGGGCACCCACCACGAGGTTTTGATTCATCCCTAAGGGGAAACATCAGGACTGTGAAGTAATCTTTGTTGAATAAGAGTTTAATTTAGTAACTAAAAGAATTTTGTTTGTCTAATGGTTAGAAATAATGAGACAATAGGCAGACATCTGTCATTTAAGATATATCTATGCAGGGCACTTTTGTCTGGGTGTACAGTCACACCCCCCCATAGACCAGTTTTAAACCAGGAAAAAGCCCTGCACATGTTGATGTAAAATTTAATCTTTTTTTTTTTTTTTTTAGATGATGGGCAGGAAAAACAAATAAAAATAGTCCACATTTTATTGTTTATTGTTGCCTTAGTTTGGAGGCACAGGACGTGTGCGTGCCAGGTTTTCAGATGGATGTTTTTAAAGATACAGAGAGCTGAGTCGGGGGTGAGATTTCCCCCGTGGTACCCAGCAGCTGCTTCCAACAGTAGGCTTCTCCCAGGCTTGCCCTGCCAAGCAAGGGGGGGGGGGCATAGAGGGAGGTCCTGTCTAAGGCAGGTACCAAGCAGCTCAGTCAAAGTCACCCTGTGAGTCTCCCTTTCTGTGTGTGCCCCATGCAACGCTGACACCCACCGACAGCTGGGGGGGATAAAAATAGCCCTGTGAAGAAAAGTGCAGAGCCCCTGGGCAAGAGCGGCACTGGGAAGGATCCTCGCTGTAGTCATTTGGATCACAGCAGAGGAAGCGCTATGGGTTGGACGCAAGCCACTTCGTTATTTCAGTGTGGTGCCCTCCTCTGTCCCCTTACTTTATCTGGTTTCCTAAGAATTCTTTATCTTAAGCAGCTGAAAAATAAAAATTTCAGATCCTGGTAAAATCTCTTATCACTCCAAAGCACAATTAGTTTTCCGTTTTTACTGTTATACCCTGAAAGATTCCTAAAAGATGAAACATTTCCTCTTCTGTAAAATCACATGAAAAGTTCTTTGAGGTCAGAGCGATTGTAAATAGGGGTTTGAGGCTTCTGTGTACTTGGTATGTATGGTATTGTCAAATATATCACAGTTTAAGCTCTCGTCGTAGTATATTTAAGTCATCGTTTAAGTGTTTAGTGCATGTTACAGTATGTGCTCCTTCTATTGAGAATTCACTTTTTGATTCCCTGTGTTCATTTGCAGATAATCCAGTATCAGACGGTGCGATACGACACTTTGCCCCTGTCCCCCATCTCCAGAAACAGGCTCAGTGAGTACACTGTTGTTTTATGGTATTTCTCTGTATAAAAGCTTATCTTGCTAAGTCTTAAAGATGCTTTCGCTAAGGCACATCGGTGTGTTGGCCACAAAATGAAGGAACCATAAAAGCATCTTTGTAATGTGGACAGAAGAAGGTGATAAACAAGTTTGTCAAGTAAGAAGTGATTGTGCTGACTGGGACTTTTTCTGGAACAGATGTACAGTTTGGAAACTATCCCCCTCATGTTCACCTTAAAGTAAAGACTAAATGGCCATTATGTCAAACTGACTGGCTTCTCCACATAAGGAAAATCACACTAGCTTTTAGATACTTTTTTTTTTTCCCCATGACCTTCTTTTATAGATACAAATATTAAGTTGCCTTAAATGGGTTCATGCACAGCTGTATTCTTTTTGTCAATTGTTTTCATAAACCTGTTTTGCTGCATAGGTCTGTTGTTTTGCGCTGTTTAACCAACTAACAGCTTAACAACAGAGTGTGGTTTTGCACAAAAGGTATTTGGCTGTATATTGGCACTGCAGCATTTCAATTAGATGACTGTATTTGGTTTTTAAAGTAAAAAAAGAACAATTGTAAACATAAAACAAATGTTGTTTTTTTGCAGAGCTGTAAATGTCGACTGAATATTTTCCAGTGAAGCGAACTGATACAGTCATGAGTGAGATAACTGGTGTTAGCAGCAATGTCAACACTGCATAATGTAAATAGTCTTTGACATTATAAACTGCATTGCACGCAGAGTCTTTAGTGATTAAGGATTAGTATATAGACCATAGATATCCTCAAGATGTGTGACAGCAGTGCTAAAGTTGTGAATGCCTAATGTGTAGATGCACACTAGCTGTATATACCAACACCAACTGACAAACTTAACAATTATAACAGTATCAACGTGTGAGCATCCACATAATGCAATGTTATCTTTGATTAAAACAAAACAAAACAAAAAGACGGACTTTCTGCTTTGAATTAAAGGATAGGATATGTAAATGTTACAGGCTGGGCCACACCACTTGCTCAGGCACTGACTGGTTTGGTTTGTGTGCTCTGAATGAACTTCCCTTCTGTCAGCTGAGAGCTCATTCAACAGCACACTCTTGACTTAGAGGAAGGATTGTATTTCAGTCTACTTTACTTGCCTCTCACTCATTCCACTGACGTCACCAGCACATCCAGGTCCAGTCTCTAGTGAATAAGTGTACATTAACTTAGCTGCAGATGGTGGGTATTTCTGCTAGAAGTAAAGCGGCAGTGTGGTTGCCAAATCTGTGCATTCGAATAAGGTCAGCTTCAAATGTTAAAACGGTTACCCAGTCCTCAAAGCGCTTAACTGGAATCAGCTGGAGTGTCTTTGGGGGAATAAATGAGTCTACTGAAAAAGTAACTGGAATTGGCTGGAAACACATTAGGAAACTCATCAAGTCAGGGATTGCAAAGAGATGAGGGGAAAAAATGAAGGCACCTGGGTGTCAGGGCTTTAATTTCCACTATTAATTATAAAAGAGGATGTGTTATAATATTGTTATAAGATACTTTTCATAAACAAGTCTTACTCAGCCCATCATTTCTTGTTGACTTTGAATTAAAGTGGAGTACATTATATCCTCACCAGGCATAGAGGAAACTCACATAATGGGTTTCCTTTTGTTTATTTGCATACCATTTAAGTGCATCAATCAGAGTATTGGAGTCAGTAAATAATAATAAAAAGATCTTTACACATGGTGGTACACTCTGTTCTAAAAATTAAAACTGAAAAAAGACCGAGGAAGTTAACAACACCAAAACTGATGATGACTTTGTAAAGGTTTGTCCTTTCGCTGTGCTGTCTAAATACTCTGGGGAAAAAATAAAATGGCTTGCCTTTTTTGGGTCAAGACTTAAAATAAGCAGTTCCTTGTTTACAATAGGGCTGCCACAAATGATTATTTTGATAGTCGACTAGTCACCGATTATTTTTGCGATTAGTCAACTTATCAGATCATCATCCATTGGACGTAAAACACAGCTTATTGTACCAGCAGCATCTGCTCTTATATAACTATCATTAGCTTACAGCTTTAAGTGTTTAAGGTCTGTGCTAACTAAAAATAAAAACAAGATGATAGTTTATTAAAGTTTAATGAAATTTGCAGATTGTTTCGGTGAAGTTTAATAAACTCCTTGCTATCTAAAATATAACACCGGAGTATATTCTCAAGTGTCTCACACTTCTTATACCTTGTGCAATACTTTTTGTAAATAGTCAATGGTGCAATAGACCTCAATACTTGAAATGTGCAATTCACTTGTATTTTTATTTTTATTCCTATTTATTCTATTTATCCCCTTGTAATTATTTGGTGCTGTGCTTTTTGGAAATCGAATTTCCCAGAGGAACCCACCCGAGGGATTAATAAAGTTCTATCTATCTTATCATCTATCTTCTGATAATCAGTTGTCTGCTTGACGTTTATTCAGCTGTGTAAAAACTATAACTTTAATCTCAGCCAAACCGATTTACTCAGGAACAAATAAAATACTGAAAAAAGCCAAACAATAACATTTTTAAGTTATCTAAGTGACTTATATATGTTTAACCTGAGTAGCGAAAGACGGCGGTGGGTTTGAAAACGATTTGCCGGGAGTCCGGTGTTCTCACGGCTCTAGTGAGCCTAGCCCCCGGCTAGCTATCGAGCTAGTGGGTAACAGACGTCTCCGAAAACGTCGGAGCCTTTTGAAAATATGGGTGTCTGATAACTGAGCAGATATTTGAGGTTTACACAGCTACATTCTCGCCTGAAAATATGTTAAACGTTTATTTTGTGACCCAGAAAGAATAATAAGAGTAATATTAAAACTAACTAGCTGCCGCCATTGTTGGAAACTGAGCTATGAATTCTGGGACACAGCTCTTCTTCTTCGGGGTTTAACGGCAGCTGGCATCCTTGTACATGCAGTGCTGCCATCTTCTGTTTCAGTCCGTTATTACACTCTTAAATCCTGCTACTTATTCCTGCGTCTTTTGGGATCTTACAAAGCTTCAAACGACGCGTCGACTATTAAATCAGTCGTCGACGATTTTGGTAGTCGACTAATCGTGGCAGCCCTATTTGACATGTTAGAAGTAAAAGAGAAACCTGCTTGTTGACACCGACATGTTGTACTGAAGTGCATGATTTTTCACATAGCCTAATTTCTCTTAATAATTTTGTTTGTGGAGATGTGCTAAATGAAGCTTGATGTTATTAAATGAATGCAGATGCAGTAAAGAGGAAGATTCTGGTTCTGGACCTAGATGAGACCCTGATCCACTCTCATCATGACGGCGTCCTGAGGCCCACAGTGAGACCTGGCACACCGCCGGACTTCATCCTCAAAGTACGGGCGGCCAACCATATATGAGCATGAGTTACTCCCAGTTTAAATACCATTTCTGCCTAAATGAGCTGGTTCCACCCGTTTCCCCTTTCCTTACAGGTCGTCATTGATAAGCACCCAGTCAGGTTCTTCGTACATAAAAGGCCACATGTTGACTTCTTTTTAGAAGTGGTGAGTGTTATTCAAACAACCGTGTGTGAGTGTGTATGTGTGTGTGTGGCTACGGTAACAAGCAGTAAATCACAAACATCGTCACTCCTTTAAATCCTGCCTGTCATCCTTGTCATTAATCTCCATTGTACTGCACTCTCACACTCATAAAAGTGTATTTATTTTTTGTATTGACCCTTTGTGACTTGCTGAACACTGATGGTAATTTGTGAACATAGATTGTTATGTTCTTGTGTATATAGGTGAGCCAGTGGTATGAGCTAGTGGTTTTCACAGCCAGTATGGAGATCTACGGCTCAGCAGTGGCAGACAAACTGGATAACAACAGGAACATTCTGAAACGAAGATACTACAGACAGGTACTACTCTACGCTGTCTTCTGACAGCCTGTGTTAAACCTAATATTGATCGAGTTTCTGCTTTCACTCTGACTTTTGTTGGTGTAGATGATTATATTTAATTCTTTTTCTTTCTTTTCCCAGCACTGTACATTGGATCTAGGTAGTTATATTAAAGACTTGTCTGTAGTACACGATGACCTGTCTAGTATTGTTATCCTGGACAACTCGCCTGGTGCTTATCGAAGCCATCCAGGTAAGATTTCAAAGTGTAAATGGGCTTCAAAAACAAGATCTCAGAAACCACGAGTGACATCACATTAGTTACGTCTATATGAAGTTTAATTAGAAGTTGTTTAATGTATTTACAGTCCAATAAATACAATTTCTGCCTTTGTTTTGTATGTCTTAGACCTGTCAAGCTCAAAGAAAGAAATGGTTTAGAGTATAGATGCAAGTTTTTCTATTTGGATGCTTTGAAGCTACGTTATTTTGGTCACATAGAGCACCTTTGCATGTGAGCAGCAGAAGATTGTGGCTGTTGTGCTCACAGCTAGAGCTGTGGGCATGACACGACCATATTAGTTATAGTTCCTCTCACTGACTGTCAGAAGTGGAGCATTTGAGTAGTTTGAAGCTTTTGGTTCACACGTATTAATTATACATAAGGTCACTGGATTATTTGAATTTTCCCCTCACTGTAAGTACACACACATAAATGAGAAATGGTACGATACCTGCTAACGAGTTGAGTTATATATTGGGCTGCTTGTTTTCGGTCATGTTTAACAGATCAATTAAATCAAATCTTTGTCTTGGTAGAATTGAACTTTGTGACAAGGACATAAGCGAAGGTGTTTTCACTTCAGGGCCTGTGTTGTAAAATGCTGTTGCAGTACATTAAGTGCGAAGCTCCTTGAACACTCTGTGGCTTCTTCAGAAAAGCAGCACAAAATCACTACCATGTCCATTTTTCTGACACAACTGACTGGCTGTTTTCTGCCCTCCAGACAATGCAATACCCATCAAGTCCTGGTTCAGCGACCCTAGTGACACAGCACTTCTTAACTTGCTGCCTATGCTGGATGCACTAAGGTAAAATGCATAATAAAGCTTGCATGAAAGCAAAGGGATAACGCAGACACTGGCTTGCATGGCTTACTTTGTTGTAAGGTTATTTGCATACTTCCTCATTCTAAATGAGTTGTTTAAGACATGTAAAGCAAAAAGCTCACAAGCTGTCAGTGTGTTAACACCAGACCAAATCCTCATATGACCACAAGGACTCAAAGTATCATCTCTTTATTTTGGTGGCTTTACTTGCTTTCTCTTTATAAGTCGCCCGTCATGTTTCAGCAACAAAAAAATGTTTCACGCATTTTGTCTGCAGTTCCTCTTAGAAGTAGTTCGGTTGCTTTAAAAAGCTGTTTTTATTCAGTGTGAGACAAGAAATCTCATGTGAATTCATTCAGAAGAGTGACAAGCATCTGGATGAAGTTTCCTACGAAAAGCTAAGGCTAACATATAAAGCGCCTTGAGGCGACTGTTGTTGTGATTTGGCGCTATATAAATAAAATAGAATTGAATTAACAGCAAACCTGCACAGTGTGTAATGTATGAGGTAACAAAGGAGATGCTGAGTGTTTATCATTGATTTTCAGATGTGTATGTCAGGCGTTATTTTTTACACCAGGTTGATTTATCCATTGTTGGATTAAGCTACTGTTAAAAGTAACTTGTTACATTACATAATTACTGATATGAAAAAGTAATCTACTGAGAAAAGGAAACACAGGTTTGCAGTTAGCTTGTATATGTTGGGTATATGACCATGGGGTGTGTAAGCTTCTGCATGTTTACCTCTCTAGTGCACTGGCATTACCTCTGCACAGCGTGTGATATTGGTAGCATCTTTTCCTCAAAACACACCAGCAGCAGGCTCATCAGTTTCCTTTTGGCTGGCATCATTGACTGAACCAAAAAGTCACTGGCTGTAGTTTCAGAGGTTTTGCTCCTGTTTTACCGCTGCACAAAGAATACTTCCACAGAATAAAAGCAATCACCTTTGCCGTCACGTTCCCTGACTTAGCATACACGCTAACAGAAGTATAGGACTGGATGTACTTTTAACTTTTTGGCAGCTTCATGCCAAAAAGTTAAAAGGAGACAGAAAAATTGAGAATTTGTGTGGCATCCTTCTCTCTGGTCACATCAAAGGAACAGCAGAATTTAAGATTTACACAGTAAATAACTGAAATGTAAATAAATAACTGAATTCTTGAAAAGGAGAGCTAATGTGTTGCATTGAAGCAGTGGGAATACTCTGAATACTTGCCAGCGTGAACATGGCTGATCTTTTGATCTTACTCAAACAAATAAATGAGCTTTTTTGTCCTAAGTGTTAAACATGCATTGGTTTCCCTGCTACGATGGCAGCAAGTACACTGAAATGTCGTCCTGTTTGTCATAGGTTCACTGCTGATGTCCGCTCCGTCCTCAGTCGAAACCTCCACCAGCACCGGCTCTGGTGATTGGCTGAATTGAGAGGGATCGGGCTTGTTGACCAGCCTCTTCTCTCTGCTGGCTTCCACCCTGCCCTCCATTCCCACGTAGACGACCCACCAGCCCTCTCCAAGCCCCTCCTGAGGTGACCGCCTCACACAGGATGAACAGTATGGGATCAACAGAACCCACGAACTACTGGGGAGGGAGGGGGAGCCAGCTTTTTTTTTTTTTTTTTTTTTTTTTCTTTGTTTTTTTTTTTTTATTTTTTTTTTTTTTTCCCCTTCTCCAAAACAAAGAGGAGCCTCTCTGCCTTATCGCTCCTGATACTGACTGTGTGTGTATGGAGTCGGAGTACGCTTGCTGAGTTCATTAGTCCTTTTTAAAAAAATTTGAAGATAAAGTTGGGAGATCGAGGAGGATCGGCGATGCAACAAAGACTTCTTTTTTTTTTTTCTCTCTCTCTTCTTCGTCATCACAACACAACATACTGCACTTCAGCAAACTCATCAGTTTACTGTCTTAACCTCTTGGAGCAACTGAGTAGGGCAAAATAGAAAACCCCCCCCCCATTTTTTTTTTTTTTTGTTTTTTAGGATCACCATCATACCCCAAGCGGCGAGTCATCAATTCCCAAGGTACTTTCTATTTTTTTTCTCCCCCAGCAAGATTGGATCAATTTAAATGATGTAACTGATGGACCCTTGCTTGCAACATACCACCCACAGGCATTTTTTTTCTGGACAAATAGCCAAGAAGTCGAAGTTTCTTTTCTTTGTTTTTTTTTTTTTTTCTCTTTTTCTTTTTCCCTCAGCCATAACCAACAACTGTTTCCCCCAAACTTCTTCATGGGACTCTGATAAACACTTTAAAGTTGTGAGGAAAAAAAAAAGAAAAGAATGGCTTGTAATGATACACGGACTGCCGTTCCGCCTTTCCATATCTGATTGTTTCTCTGTTACCATGATATCTGCTAATATGACTTCTGAATACCACAACAATTTCTTCGCCTCATTTTTAAAAAACTATTTGATGCCATCCTGGTTTCATTTAATAAGAATTGCACTTAATCTCCTGTTTTTTGTTTTTTTTTTTTGGTTTTTTTTGTTTTGTTTTTTTTTTGCAGTTTGTTTGTTAGTTGATTCAAACTTGCAGCCTTCCCACCCCTTTGCATTTTTTTTTATTTTATTATTTTATTTTTTTACCCATTCCCCTTTTTATTGTATCGGTTCAACTATTAGACGCTCCATCTTTAAATGCCTTCTGAACAATGTCAGTCTTGTCAAGGCTCACAGCGGCTTCTTATTGGCTCTGTCTCCAGGTCTGTGTTACTAATAAAACACTTGTCAGTATCGACCAGTTACAATTCAGCTTGTTTTCTTTTACTGCGAGTAACACCCTTCATGTTTGAGCCCTAACATTTTGCAGCTCTAACTTCACTGGAGTTCAGTTTCTGTGAGAGGAACACTTTGATTAATCATCTGCTGCCACCATGTGGTGTAACGGGGAACTGCACTGATCTCAGACTAACTTTGTTTTGATAAAGGCTTTTTCAAACTGGAATAACCTTTGTCCCCAAAGCTCTAGACAATGGGTTTCTGTCCCATCTTTGTTGTTTATTTTATCGACAGCTTGAACTTGAGACAAAAAACAGAAGCTGTTCTTGTTCATGTAAGCTGTGCGTTTAAGCACTGCTGCAGGCCATAATCGCTTCTAAGTTTCTATGTGTACGTTTATTTGTTTTAATTGTGAAGAAAAGTGTAATTTTAAGACAGAGTATGCAAATTAGTTTTCTCGTTTCTATTTTTATACGCATCTCTACTTGATGATAAAACATCCTCACATGAAGTCCGTTTGGGAGAACTGCTGACCATCTCAATCATGTTGCATAATCTTAATCAGCAGGTAGTGTTTTGTACTGTTTTGTGACTGTTTTGCAAATGAATGACTGTCAGTGAAAAGTATCGACGTTTTTCTTACTGTTAGTGTATCAAGCATGCAGTGCAATAGTCCTCTAAGACCTGATTTGGTTGCACATCTGCTAGCCAGCCATAGCTGTGCGTGTGATGATGTGTGAATGTTTTTTGTCCCAAGCTGAAGACTTCAGAATGTGATTTCTAATCACGGTATAAGGCTGATACAGTATATGCTTTGGTTTGCTAACACCTGCCTCTCACTGATGATTTAAAGGCTGAAACGCAGAAAGAGGTAAATATGATTTTGCCTTTTTTTTTTTTTCTTTCTTTTTTTGGACCACAGCTTCCTTCCAGCCACCTTATTAAAGGAAACCTATTACGCTCTTAGACTGAGTTTATCCTCTCAAACAAGTAGTTTAAGCTTCCTTCCACCTTCCCTCTAAGCCAAAAGTCTTCTGATTAGCTGCCCCTGCTAAACTGGGGCAAACAGGCAGGTGGGAGAAAGGCAATATAAGTGATTTTGACCCTTTAAGCAGATGGGTTACAGCAGTGCGTTCCATTCCTGTCAGGAAACAGACTACAGTTTGCACAGGCTCACAAAAATAAATGTTGCCTGGTCTGATAAATTTCTGCTGCAGCATTCAGATGGTAGACCCAGAATTTGACCCTGCCATCCGCATGAAAACATGGTTCCATTCTTCCTTATATTCACAGTTGAGACTGCTAGTGGTGGTGTGATGCTGTGGAAAATATTATCTTGGTTCACTTTGGGCCCCTTAGTATCATGTGAGCATCATTTAAACACCACTACCTGATGATTGTTGCTGAGCACGTCCATCTCTTGAGTAGTGCACGCATCTTCTGATGGCTGCTTCCAGCAGGATAACACCCCATGTCACAAATGATATCAAAGTGGTTTCTCGAAGATAAGTTTGCTTTAGTTTAATGACCTCCACAGTCACAGTGTCGCAGTCCAATAAGCACACTTGGGATGTGGTGAAGTAGGAGACTCACATCATGGATGAGCAAATCTGCAGCAACTGTAATGCTGTGTGATCACGTCAACGTGGACCAAAATCTTTGAGGAATTTTTTCCAACAACTTGTTGAATCTGTGCCACAGAGAATTGAGACGTCTAATAAAGTGATGAGTGATAGAAAATTAGGAAAACCGAAATAGATGCCCCTTTAAATCTGCCTTGCTTTCATCCACCTTGCAAATCGAGCGGATTTCTTTGCGAGCTCACTCCAAGAAGAGTCTATCATGTTATCATTGATCAATCTCACATCCCTGTTCTCTGTTCACCGTTTCGGTGGGGGGAGGGGAGGAGGAGTTGGCTGTCTGGTTGGGGTCTGGGATGCAGGGCCTCCCTGCTGCTGCAAGACCGGGGGTGTTGTGCTTGTCTCCACCCCAGAGCAAAGGGCAACATCTCCTGGGTCTTGGGGCAGATTGCCCCTCTGGGGGTGATAGTACCTGGACCTGGAGGGTGTGAGTGTGTGTACAGCCAAAAAGAAAAGAAGAGAATATTATGTAATATAATAATATATAATGTAGATCAGTCAGCGTTTGACATCAGCTGAGTATACACTTTAATTTTTAAAGTTCCTGCTGTGAAAGAGCCATGAGACTGAAATCTAGAACACTAAGGGGAAAAAATACAACCCCAAAAAATGTATAACAAAGAAAACAAAAGACAATATTATCTAAAATTATCAGGCAACGTTCTGGTCTGAAGCAGGAGAGGGTTGTTTCTCTAACAAAAATATGTGCAGTACTTTTTAGATCTAAGCAATCTGTGTCATCACTGTGCACAAAAGGAGATCATGAGGTTTTGAACCACAGTGATGTCACATGGATGTGACTCACAGACTTGTGGGTCATATGCGCAATAGGCAGGTGAGTGTTTCAGGATGTATGAGTGGCAGCTTTGGAGGCACAGTTTGTTTACCAAATGTGTTCATGACAAAATATTAAACTTTTTTTTTAATATAAATTATGAATAAAATAACCCAGTAAATTCCCAGAGTTACACAAAGTTATCCTAAAACCAGCATTTAGCAACAATTTGCGTAAATGATAAAACTCCTGGTTATTTGCTTCTTTCGTCTGTTATGGTGTAATGAGTCGTAAACCCCGAGTAATTAGAGGAAACTTAGTAGGCACTGTGTTCACCATTAAATACGCAGTAACTTGTGCTTACATACAATAATCCAACATGCTGCAGAAATGTGAATAAACGTGTTTGGTTCAGGGTTTATCACCGGGTATCAGCGAAAGCTCCAGCACAATGAAATGTCGCATGTTTTTCGGTTTCTCCTCCCAAACCACAAACTGCTGGGCCTCGGTCATATGACAAGGACAGATCCCTCCTCAGTGCCCTGCCCCGCGTCTTTATGCGCAGCGGCTGATAAAAAATAAAATAGTTCCACGTAAAAGAAAAGAAAAAGACAGAAAGGCAACATTGATTCGTAAGCTCTTCGTATACTGTTTATTTCAAGATTATTATTATTTTCTTCTTGAATACGCGTCGATTATCATCACACAGTCGACGTTAATGGGGTTTAAAACAAGGTGAGGTACGCCCCTGCGAACTACCCATTTCCTCTACGTCATGTTGTTATTGTATCCCTCCGCTGCAGTCGCACTAGGAAAACAGCTGTGGCGAGGCTAAGGCTAGCTAGCATCGTTTGTGTTTGTGTGTCCGCGATTCGAGTCAGTTCTTAAGCAACCCGTACCACCGCTGAGTGACCGACTTGTTGTCTGTCATCTCTTTTAAAGATGAAGTTTCAGTACAAAGAAGAGCATCCCTTTGAGAAGAGGCGGTCCGAAGGCGAGAAAATAAGAAAGAAGTATCCGGACAGGGTGCCAGTAAGTAGCTAACGTTAGCACCTTGACAGCTAGCTAGGTTGCCTTGCTGTTATACTGCTGTCAGGCTAATTTCGTTATGCTCACTGTTTTATTTTTATTACTAATTTAATCTTAAAATCTAAATGTGATATTGTAGTGAGATTTTACCCACACAATATATTGCTTAGTTTGTTTACTGCCACGTTGTAACCGCCACACATGGTAGCTAACAACGGCAGAGGTTAAGTAGGAATTTCGGCCGCTGTGAGCAGGCCAGCAGGTGATCTCCGTGTTATTCTTCCGTGAATCATCATTGGTGGCCAAATAATGGTGGTTATGACTGTGACGGTGGTTACGGTGAAGACATGCAGGTGTGCACAGACTCTTTTAGTGGTCTGTAGCTGGATGTTGAAACGCAGTAGAGCGCCTTAAAATAGATGCTGTCAACAAAACGGGGTTGTTTACGTCGCCCAGCTCCTTGCAGATAAATCATAAAGGCTTTCCCCAGTTAGTCTGGCCTATCGAGGCAGTCTGTGTCACAACTATCAGCTGATTTAATGTGGGGATTTCGGGTTTTTCCTGTAAAGTATGACGAAATACACTTTCCTTTCAATCATGATCACTTTTAAGCTTTCGTTTTACAGTCCTTCCATCGTAGTTTACCGTAAACTTGTTCTGTTGCTACAACAAACAATTAACTATCGTAGTCAATTAACCACTGCTTATTTTCTCTATTAATTGAATACTTATTTGGTCACTAAATGGTGAAAACAGTCCATTATAACTTCCCAAAGACCCAGAGAACATTCACAGATGTCGTGTTTTGTATGATCATTTGAATTAAAACTATCATTCACCATCATAAAATGGTACTGACAAAAAATGCACATCAGGTGCTAATTCATTAAAAAAAAAAGGGGGGGGGGGGACGCTGATTAATTGTGCAGTCAGTGTTTACCGTGTGGGCAAGTGATATTTTACCGGTCCTATTTTTAGACTGGAGAGAGACTTAAAGAGGTTTAGTAGGGAAAGCGTTCAAAAATTAAACCGCACGTCTGATAGCCAGGGTGTAAATATACCAGGTTCTTTCTAACACTGAAATACTTTTGTGAAATATAATCTGTGTTATATTAAACACTTCGTCTGAGTTTGATGTGCCTGGACTCGCTTGACTGACAGTTTGGTACACTCTCAGATCCCTTTTCTGAGACAATGAAGCGAACACCATATTGCAGCCTTTGTAATAAAAACATGTTGTACACCTGTTTTTTTTTTTGTTTTTTTTTTCTTTTTTCTTTCTTTTGTTTTTCTAACCTTTAGGTAATTGTGGAGAAAGCACCCAAAGCCAGAATAGGAGATCTGGACAAGAAGAAGTACCTTGTCCCCTCTGACCTGACGGGTAAACATTGCCTTCGAGTATAAAAAGTTGTTGACTTCTATTTTAGAGTTGTAATGTCACATGTTAAATTTCTACTATTACATATTCTCTCTTTCATCAGTGGGTCAGTTTTACTTCCTCATCCGGAAAAGAATCCACTTGCGAGCTGAGGATGCGCTCTTCTTCTTTGTAAACAACGTCATTCCACCCACCTCAGCTACCATGGGATTGTTGTACCAGGCAAGAGTCCTGTTAAGCTTCCTGCTCACTCACATGCTCTCACATTATGGCTTAACCAGCATGTTGCCTTTGGTTGTTCCTCCTTAGCCTCTCCCTACATTATTGATATTGCGCTAACAGTTTTTTTTCTTTTTTCCCCTCCCATCAGGAGCATCATGAAGAGGACTTTTTCCTCTACATTGCCTACAGTGATGAGAGTGTGTATGGGGACAGCCAAAGGGAAATCTGATCCCACTTCAACCACTACCCACCTTTCTGAGACCTCCACATCCATTCATTCATTTAAATATTAAATCCAGCTCAGCAGCCTACAGTTCCCAGAGTGAATATGTCAAATGCACTTTCACCACCCATGCATTACCCCTCTCGCATCCAGTTCTGTCTTTATTACTCTGCAGTCTGAATTGTATTTGTCTCCCGCTTTTCTTTTCAACAGTAACTAAGTGGTCTCATGGCCAGTTCAGTTTCTAGTGTCAAAACCGATCGTACTTTACTTAAAAACAATGCGAGAGATTAATGAAATAATACTAGAAATAGGCCTTTACTATAGCTACTCCGGGTTTAAGGGAGAAAGGATTTAAATTGCGTGTTATTTAGAATGAACGCAAATGTTTTTTTGGGGGTTTTTTTTGTTCAGTTTTGTTAGCTTGAGCTTAGGCTGAGAAATGAAAGGAAAAGAACTCTTTCACTAGGAAAAAACAAACTAAAGTGACAAAATTTATTTAAAAGCATGTCAAGGAGAATTTAGCTTGCTACTCTGCATTGGACCTTTGCAAGGAGTATAACAGAATTCAGACTAAATAATCATCCTCTGCTTTCAGTGGTAAGACTATTATGTTGACTGCTAATGATTATTGTTGTTATTGTTGTTAATTTTTAGATGGCTTACTTTCTAAGGATCGTGTAAAGCTGAGTGCAATTTTTTTTCTTCTATTTTTTAAGTTTTTTTTTTTTTGTTTTGTTTTGTTTTTTTGTAAGAAGAAAAATTACAACTGAACTCTGTATACAGCTGCGTAACTGGCTCTTTCTCTCTATTCATGACCATACATAATAAAATGTGATGGAAAAACTACCTGCTGTTTGTCTTTTTTGTCCCTTTGCTACAGGGTAACAAGTAATTACACTTTTATTTTTTTTTATTTTTTTAGCCATGTGAGTTGTGGCTTTCAATGTAATGAAACATTACACTGGTTAATTTGATGCTGTGCGCTTCAAGGGAGTTACAGTTTGCACAACATACAAAAACATGAACCTGTGATTTAGTTCATTTTTCTTCTGGTTGCGTAGGTTGCTTTATCATATCAGCTTCTGTTGCTGCACTGATAATCTGACTTGCAAAGTCATGCATGTCCACGTGTATGTTTATAATTTTTGATATATGCAAGAAAGACATTTGACTCCAACATCTATTTTTTTTTTCCTCCACCTGCTTTCTTTAAGTGTTACAAAAGTAGACTGGCATACAAAAAATAAACGTTGGGAAGGAAGCTCTGATGTGGCTTAGTTGGTAGGATAGGTTTTCTACTAATCAGAGAGTTGGTAGTTTGATCCCTGGCTTCTCTAGCCTACAAGTCAAAGTATGTTTAGCCAAGATACTAAATCCCAACTTGACCTCAGTGCATTTATGAAAAGAAAAGTGTTTGGATGAATGAGACTTGCAGTTAGAAAGTACTTTGACTGATCTAATAGTTAAATAGTTCTGTGTAAGTAGCAAATAACAAAATAGGTAGTATGTAATGAAAGTATTAAAACATATTTCAGACTGGGGAAAAATAAAGCGGAACATGTAATTTACTGTTGTAAGTAATGAGGAAATTACTCATGTTTTGCCAATGAAATCAAATTGGTTAGCCCACATTCGGCACAAGGAGGCTTTGGTGTTTCCTAAATCTTTCCCTTGCTAGGAAATCAAATATTTGAACTATAAAACTGCATAAGCATCAAGAAATAAAAACACGACATACACAAAACTGCTTGGAAGTTTCATTTTGCTGACATCGACGTGAGAGTCGCCGCATTGCACTTCCAAACTACAACTCCCAAAGTGCACTTCGAAGCGTGACCGCCTTTGAACCGGAAATGCAACAGCATCACCGGTCTGGAAATCGCTCCGTCTGTTTATGTTTTGTGGGAGACGTTTTGATTTTTTATCTGTTTTAACCGCTCGAGTGCTATCAAGCTAAAAAACCGCCAGACGGTTAGATTCTTATTAAAAGACTCACAACGAAATAAAAGTAAGCTTTTTACAGTTTTATCAGCACTGAATTCAAAGTAGACCATGTAGGATAAAATACGTAACGCAGTAAAGTGCTCTGCAGCTAGCCTCGCTAGCTAGCGTTTTTCCCCGGTTAAGTTTAAATATGTAATTTTTGTTAGGGGTTTACACATGTAAGCTACATCACTTGTTATATTAAATTACTATGTTTTCTGTTGGTGCATTTTACTCTAAATATCGTCATGTATTGGGAGGTACAGCTATCTGTGCTAACTTAGGCCGATATCGGCTAGCTAGCGAGGCCTGTGGTTGTTACACTTGTTTGAGTGAGCGTAGATGCACACTTTGATGTAGTTTAATGAACTCTAAATATTTCCTCTGACCTTGTCGATTCATTACTGACATTTTGACCCACACCAGCTGGCCCCTCCACTGCCTGTCACAATGCCCGCCCTGCTTGAGAGACCCAAGCTGTCCAACGCGATGGCCAGAGCTCTCCACAAACACATAATGAGGGAAAGAGAGCGCAAGAGACAAGGTGCTTTCTCATTTTGTGTGTATGTGTGTATGCGCTTTAAAAAGTATTTTAGCCCTAGTGTGTCACATCTGACACCTTTAAGGATTCTTGTAGAAATAAGCAAGCACTGTTAAGACACTGAGCTGTGTTTGGATAGGTAATACTCCTGGTCACAATTAAATATCAGCCAACCAGAGTATGAATTGTTTTTAGCATTTAGTCAATAAAACAAATTAACTTTTCATGTTCATTCTTTGTAATTCTGTAAAATTTGACTAAGATCTGCCTCATTTAGATTCAAGTCCTATGTTTATGCATATATTCTTCGAATAATCTATCCATCCATGATTGTGATTTTTTTGTGTAATAATACACTCACCTGCTGGTTTGTTAGGCACAAATTTATAATCATCCAGTGCATTTACCATATCGACATGGTCAAGACGACCCACTGAAGTTCAAATTGAGCATCAGAATGAGGAAAAAATGTGATTTAAATGACTTTGCTAAAACAATTTTACAACCAAGGTGCCACTGAATGGACAACACGTCAAACCATGAAGCAGATGGGTTAAAGCAGCACAGGGCACTGCTCCTATCAGCTAAGAACAGGAAACTGAAGCTACAGTTTGCACAGGCTCACCAACATTTTGCAACAGAAGACTGACAAAACCCCCCCCAGACATTTGCTGATCTGATGAGTGTCAGTTTCTACTGCAATATTCAGATGGTAGGCTCACCTTTAGGTGTAAACGGCATAAGAGTATGATTCCATCCTGCTTTGTATCAATGGTGCAATAATATGGTGATTTTTCTCTTTGCACACGGTGGACCTCTTAGTACAAATTCAGAGTAGTCAGCCTGAGTATTGTTCATGAACATGTGTGTTTGCATGTCTCAAACCTCAAATCAAATTGGAACTGATTTCTTGAACATGACAGTGAGTTCACTGTAGTTAAACTACATCCACAGTCACCAGATCTTAATTTAATAGAGCACCTTGGGATGCGGTGGAACAAGAGATTCACATCATGAATGTGCAGCAGGTGTGTGATGTGCCATGTTAACATGGATCATTTCTGAGGAACGTTTACAGCACATCGTTGAATATGTCCAGTGAAGAATTAAGACAGTTTTAAAAGAATAAAGGGGTTCAACCCTATAATAGCAAAATGTACCCAAAAAATTGCCTGCTGAGTGTATATGTTATAGCTGTCTGCCTGCAACCTATTCTTTGGTCATAGATCTAAAAGGCAATCAAAAAAAAGTAGCTACACTATACTCACCTTAATAAATAAACTTTTTTCAGAGGAGGAAGAGGTGGACAAAATGATGGAGCAGAAGATGAAGGAAGAGGAAGAGAGGAAGAGGACAAAAGAGATAGAGGAGAGGATGTCCTTGGAGGAAACGAAAGAACAGGTTTGAAATGTGACATTTCAGCTAGTCTGTGCTCCCAGCTTTATACAAAACAAAGTCTGTGTGTTCTTACACCATGATTTCCTCAAATAAACATCAGGTGATGAAGATGGGGGAAAAACTTCAGGGACTACAAGAAGAGAAACATCAGCTCTTTTTACAGCTCAAGAAAGTTCTCCACGAAGAGGAGAAAAGACGAAGAAAAGAGCAGAGGTATATATATATATATACTTCACTTAGTTTGTTGTTTTGTCAAAGGATTGTTAATTGTCGGTTAAGCTTTTTGGTCTCCCACTTTAGTGATATTACAACTTTGACATCAGCGAGCTACCAGCAGAGTCTGCCCATGCACCCAGGACAGCACCTCCTCGGCATTCAAGGTGAGAAAAGTTCCAGGTTCTGCGCGTTGCCAGAGTCGTCATTGTTTTTCATATAGTGACATTCTCCTTTTCTCTCCTTCAGGCAATCCAGTCAGCCACAGCAGACCTGGCCCACTGCTCGGAGAAAGGAGCAAACAGCTGTTCCCAGCTGCTGTCCTCCCTGTGAGTAAAAGGAGTGTTCCAGTTAAAGAATTTATAAAATATAATACAATCTATATAATATGCTTCTTACAGTGTTTACATGTGCACGTCGTCCTCTTTTAGGCACGTCATTATCAGACACCTGGCTTCAGCTCAGGCTCCGCAGAGCACGGCCAGTTCAGCGGAGGTCAGGGGGTCCATGAGCCCTACGGAGTGGCTCAGGCTCAGCATCCTTCCAGCTACGCCCCTGGACCCTCAGTGCCAGTCAGTTTCGCAAGCAGCTCTCAGATCAGAGGTAAGATGAGATAAGATTTCTTTGCTGTCAGTGTGTACAGTGGTACAGTAAACATTTGGGTAATGTGTCACAGTGACATGACTTGCATATTTTATCATATACACGATTAAAAAAACTGTATAAGACAGGAAGAAACAGGAAACGAGGGAGTTAAATAACATGCAGTGCCATAGGGCACCAGGTCAAAAATGATTACAAAAAAATAATAATAAACACGGATGGATTGATGGATGGTGATGTGCATCACAGTACACAAACATGCGTTATACACTAGTTGTAATTGTGTAAGAGGTCATTTTGTCCTTTAATGTTCAAACAATTTTCTCTAGTGGCACAGTGAACACACAAAGAAATGAATTATCAGCATCATGTGTGCGATTCCTCCGTCTTTACTTGGATTTCAGGAGTTGACATAGAAATCAATCTGAGCCGGTTGTAGGCTGCTGTGTCAGGCTGGGCTTCTTGAAATATAGTTGGGCAGTCGAGACGGAGGGCATAGCCTCTATTCAAAGGCTAAGGAAGGCATTCTAGTAGTTTTAAGGCGATATCCTTATCAGAGTCTTGACAGTAATAAGCGTGATACACATAAATATAGCTAAAGTTAAACTAATATATGTAATTGTTTGAGTCCATATATGGTTCAGAGAACATTATGTGTGTGAGTGTGTGACCTCAGGTAAGCAGTGGATCATGTATGTGTGTGTCTGTGTGTGGTCTGAGTGATCAAGCTTCATTCTGGGCCTGCGTCAGAGCCCTGTGGATGTTTGAATTTGAAAAGAAAGGGACGACTGTCCAACCAATCAGAAGTTAGAAACAGTGCTGGTATTTTAATATGTGTTCATTGGCGTAAAGAGAAATGCTTTTGCCCGTGTCAGCCCACAGGTGCCGCCAGTCTTTGCTGATTTTCATTGACATAGACGTGTACATCGTGTTTATACAAATCAACTATGAAATCATTTCTCGCACAGTTTGAAACTCTCCTCTCAAACAGTCTAAGCGCAAAACTGACAGTCCAGCCGACAGCTTTCGTTTGATCAAAGCGCCCTGATTTCAGCCGAAAAATAAAATCCCCCACTGAGTGCGAAGTCATTTTTCTTTAAGCTTGTATTTTTCAAGTGTGGATGCACCGTGGAGTTGGCGGCATGCTATTTAGATGCTGCCGTGGCGTCAGTAATGTCAGAAACCCGCTGATTGATCATTAAAACAATCAGATCACAGTGAGATGTATTGATTGTAATGACTTTGCCTTTTTCCCCACAGGCGCATCTGCATTTCAAGCAATGCAGTACCTCCCTCACCAGCAGGCTGGTTACCCTGTTCACTTCACCTCCCAGCAAGGTGGGTTTCACTGCTGTAAATTATACCTATGTCTAATTCCACGATCTACATAAAATTCAGAGGAGTTGTAAAGTAACCTGACCATCTTCTGCAGGATACATCCCTGGAGCAGGAATACCCCTGCAGAAGCAGCTGGAACATGCTAACCAACAGTCGGGCTTTACTGACGCAGTAAGACCGTTTCAGCTTTAGATGCTGCGAAGCAGAAACAGCAGATGTTGCTGGAATATTAGACAAACACAAAAATAAACTCTGTGATATGTGATCGTCTAAATAATAGACGTTATCCATTAGCTGACCACAGTTTTCCTTCCGTCATGTCAGAGTGGTTTGAGGCCCATGCACCCCCCAGCCATGCATCCTTCCACCCCAGGTCTGCTGCCCACATCATCGATGGCGGTCCAGATCCCTACTGCAAAGGTGAACCCTCAAAACACACACACCATTTGTTTTTAATCCTGTGTTATGTGGTCAAGTAACTTGTATATTGCTTGTAATTCTTGTAAATATATTCAGTATAAGTAAAGTCTGAGCTGCTACAGTGTGTTTATGTTCATTAATGTTCTGCTTCTTGTCTGTCTTGTGATCATGGTTCCTCTTTCCTTCCCCAGGCTCCGTTCCAGAGCTCTCCCCAGAGCGCTCCCCGTCATAGCTTCCTGCCCCACAGCCAAAGCGGGCAGAGGTTTTACCACCACGGCAAGTAGATGATCAAACTCACCGGTGCTCAGATTTCAGAAGTCCACTCAAGATTCTGGCGATCCTGTTGCCGCTTAAATAGCTTTCTTTTTTTTTCTTTTTTTGTAAGTAGGTTGGACTATGCCTTATGATCTGTTTTATTCCTTGTATAGTTTTTTTTTTTTTTTAGCTTTGTTTTAATGTTGTTAATAAGCTACTAAGCAGCTCTTCAACATATGTGCTCTGAGCTTCAGACTCATATTTTACTTCAATTAATGTTGTTATTTTACTTGCACTGTGAAGCCATCATCGAGGTGCTTATGTGCGTTTAACTGTTAGTAACACTGATAAAAGCCAGACTACGCGGTCCAGAGTCGGTCCTTCATATTCACAGTGACACCAGGGGCGTGTCCAGTGTGTCTGGAGTTCCTTTGCTCACTATCAAGTAGCAGGAAGTGGAAGAGAACGTGTACAGTATTTGGATTTAATTGATGTTTCTGATTTGTCTCTCTCTCACACACACAAACACACACATTGATGAACACTACTACAGATTAACTGAAAGATTGTTTCAATGTGTTACCAGAAAGTAAGAGAGCCATTTTCTGCCTCAAGTTTTTCCCATCATCCCTCACAGCTTCAATCAGGTTTAGGTCTGGTTTAAATTTTTTAAGCTTTTGCTTAAATGTTGTTAAATAAACAATAAGCAACAGCCAGCAGTTTGTGTCGTCTTTATTTGTTTTGGCCAAGAAGACATTCTGCACAGTTTGGACTGGCTGCATGAACACAAAGTAAGGACACCAAACCGCCACGACTCGTCCGCCTCCGAATCACTGCTCACAGTTTGAGAGTACGACAAATAATACTCCAAACAGTGAAGCGAAACGTTTTGGCCAGCAGACTTTAAAAAAGAAAAAAGAATTTCTCCTTGAAGAGGATTGGTTTCTTGTCTCTCTTTGACACGTCTCTTTAAACTTTTAGACAAAAACACGCTGAACCTTGGTGTGCCATGTCGGTAAAAACCCAAACTAATGATGATATGACGGCAGGAGGGGGCGGGGCTTGTAGGGGCCCTGAAATGGTGACATACAGAAATACAAAATCGAGGCATGTATTTACTCTTGTATGGTACACGCTCAGCAAGCCTCAACAGAACAATGCAGGTGTGGAGTTGAAGCCCTTTATAAATTGGGGACAAATAATAATAGTCATGACTTTAACAGCTTGTAAGTAGCTACTCAATCATACACCACCTCCATCTTTTGTGAGACCTACCACTACGCCTGGACACGTGTATGTACATGGAGTATGTTTTGTTTTTTTTAACTGTTTGACATTTCCAATGATTTATTAAGTAATTGAACCTGAAGCAGGGACAGACAACTGAGAGGGAGAGAGTATGAAAAACAAAGAGGGAGAATAACTGACGAGGCAATATCCCCTCCTTTCCCCAGGTCCAGTGCATCTCGATTACCCCTGAAACAGAATTGGAAGAAGGGAGGGAGGAATGAGAAGAAAGGAAAGGAGAAGTCAGGAAGGAAGATGCTTAAGAAAAATAAATAAATATATATATATATATCTGTCCTTAGAGATGTACTTTAATGAGATGGTTTAACTGGCCTCTGCAGAGGAAACATTGCACAGATAACAGTGACTTTATTCTACAGCCCACAGTGTGGAGGCGAATTACAGGAAAGAAAGTGCATAAACAGGTTACAATTACAACAGGGCTGCGAGCTGCTTCTTAAAGAAACACAGGAAGTAACAGGCTGTAAAATAAAGTGTAACCCACAGGAAAAAAAGATAAACACTGATCAAATATTACAATATTAACTTTCAGCTTTTCATTTATATTTATACATAAGAATGATACACATGCTCTTAATAGTGTTACTGTGAAACACAAGTTTGACAAACTTGTATATGTTTTCCTCGGGTTTGTGGTGTTTTCTAGCCATCTAGATGGTTCTGGCATGAGTTGCCCAGTCCTGGCTGTAGAGATAACCTGAATGTGATGATCATAGTGCCAAAATAATGTATTTATATAACCAAGAAGTAAAGTATCTGAACAGAAATTATGACCTGGCTGTGAGTAAAAAAAAAAGTCCGCAAGCCTCGACGTGAGCAGTTTAATGTAGGGACTATTTTCTTTCTGAGGTTTCCATTTGAATCCTGCGACCCACGAAGCATGCTGTGTTTGCAGTCAAACCTGATCACGGTGTGACGACAAGATGCTGATGTTTCCACGAAGAATGGAGTTCCCTTATTTCAAAGCAAGAATGCAGATCATATTACTGCGGTGAAGCAGCTTAGTGTCTGCTTTGTTTTTTGCTACAAGGTGGCCGTGTAGACACCGCTACACAAAGTCTACCCACGCACACAGATAATTATTATTCATTTTATTTTAATATCAACACTTTTATATCAGTTACATTTCAATACAAGTACATTCTGTCTTGTTTATTGGTGAACTTCGCTTGGCTGAACTGTTAAAACTGATACTGATACTTGGTGTTTTAAAAATCCGATATTTCAATATATCGACCAATTTTTTTTTTATTTCACCCACACGAAACATGTTGTGGTGTTTGTAGCTTTTAGTTTATCAATGTAGTTTTTTTTAAGTTTATTGACTTGTTTACGCTTTGCCCAACTCTGCTCGAATCAGCTGCTTGTACTATGCTGCATCCCAAACATTGAGTGTTTGCGAGTTCCACAGTGCCCTCTGCTGGACAAACCTTGCAGCATCAACATTCGCAACATGGTTGTAGAGTGTTTCTCCCATCTCTGTTTTACTTTTACTGATAGCAATATAACTAATAATGGCTGATAAAATACCAGCATATCACCATAATATCAATAAATCAGTCAGCCTGTAGTTGCGAGCACCGCTTTTGTGCTGTCCCAGTGTTAGCATTAAAAACCCTGTGATGTAATTGCCTCATTGTTTTATCTGTTAGCTCAGCAGGAAAATAAATCAACCACTGAGTGAGAAATCAGGAGTTCAATTTGTCCTCAGTGTGTCAAAATGTTGACAAGGAAAGAAAGAATGCAGATAGCTTATTAGCCAATTATTAATAACTGCATCAACACAAGAAGAAACCTGCCAGTCATGCATTGCTTTATAGATTTTACAAGCTGTAGTTGCCTAGGTAACATAAGGTATTTATTACCAGGATATATGTCAACCAACAGTATCCTGGAGCTCAACAGCTTGCTATGACAAGCTAGCAGTGGGCAACTTCTGACAGCTAAGCCAGGAGGATCTGTGTTTACAAGGGGCCATTAGTTCGAGCCTCTCGCCTCAGGTACAGCCACATGTCCTTCTGCACAGCACGGTTGTAGTTCGAGAGAAACAAAATAGTTCCTACACGAAACTGCTCACAGCAAGGTAATACGATTTTTTTTTTCTTTCCATCAATGGTGTGTGTTAGGGGACGTAACACAGTGTCATGGATGGGGCATTTAGTTCCACTGTACGATATTTCCAAAACCGGCCAACTCATGCTTAAACAGTCTAGATTCATAAACAGCACTACCGATGGAAACACATATTTGATTTGGGGGTGAACTGTTTCTTTAAAGGGTTAGGCAAATCCACCAGGTCACCCTGCTGTGCAACCACCACCTTATACAGTATTAAATTTGAAAAAAACTTGCAGAATTTGTAACATTTTGTCATCTGACATCACTAATATATCCAGTCCAAACAAGTATATACACAAAAACACGCATTCATATTTAAAAACATGGATATTTCCAGTATAGTGCATATTCGTAATTGTAAATAATTGTAAATAAGGTCATATTTATTTCTTTTCAATAATAGCAAAGGCCAAATCTGTACAGCAAACCTCAGCCTCGGGTCTTGATGTCCAGAGTTGCCTTCCCCTTGCTCCACTCATGTACAACATCTGTGCGTGACTTCACACACACATCGCACTAGCATGGCACATGCTGGTGGTGCGTGGTGTAATGACCGAACTCACGCACATACATAATTTTACATGAGACACACTCACAAGCGCAGACACACACACACACTTGTCTTCAGGCAGGCTGGGGTCAGGGCGGCGGTTGCGGGAGGAGTTAAGAGAACAGCTGCGTGCTGCCACAGCCGCAGCTCTGCATTTACCTGCACGGGCTTATTTCCCCAAGGCTTTGATGCCAATCGCAGCTTCTTCATCCATTGCATTTAGAACGGTGATCTGAAAGAGCAGAAGTTCTTATGTAAAGTGCGATCATTTAAATTCGCAACGAGGCAGCCGTGGAAGCTGTCCGGTATCAGGCGCGGGAGAAAAAGGCATCAGTGCTCACCAGGATCTCCTCTCCGGCTTCATGCTTGCTCTCTATCTCCTTTCCCAGGTCTCCCTCTGGGATCTTCAGGTCCTCTCTCACCTCTCCACTGTCCTGGAGCAGGGACAGGTAGCCATCCTGGATCCCGATCAGCTGATAGAGGACAACAACAAAAAAAACAGTGAAAAAAAGAGACAGAAGACTCTAAATGAATTAGGATCTTTAATCACAGCAAGACTTTATCATCTTCATCTTTCTGTTCCTTAATTAATTAACTGTAGTTTTGTTGTTAGTTTGTAAGCTTGAGTGTACTGCTGCACACAACATGGTTTAATCCAGCATATCTGATCAACAGCGGCAGCACTCGATACTCTCTCTGCTCTCTGCACAAATATGATGTAACCTAGTTTCCATCGGTACGCGATGGGTTTGAGGTAAAAAAAAGAAAGTTTAAGTCTACATTTGAGGAATCATTAGAAACTGACAAATGTTTATTTTTCTTTTACATTATCTATAATTTTCCTCTCCCTCGACTCTATAGAGAAACACCTGACTCTGATATATGCTCTCCTGTATTCATCTTCACCTGGTGCTGAGCATGGCTGCTGGATACTGAATATCTAAAATTACAACTCAAATGTCTTTTTGACCACCGATAAAATAACACAGAACAAATAAATGAACTAAACAAACCACAGCTCGTCAGGGTGAGAGTAAAAGCTGATTGACTGCCCATCCTGAGCACTGGGAGAGACTGAGCCGAAACTGTAAAGCTGCTGCTGCAGAACCAAAAGCAGACGTTTTCACAATTTGCAGATTTAGAGCATTTAGGTGTGTGGTAACACAAAACCACAGCCGTCTCAGGAGTGCACATCCTGGGAAATTTAGCCAATAGTCAGCGGTAAAGTCAAACGTGAGGACATCCGTCTGACAGCTACAGCTAACCTGGGTCATACAGCACAGCAACGATCCTCAGCATTTAAATCTACAACAGAATGAGTGAAAAAGAAAATAACTAAGGTCAAAGTTCACATCAAAACTTGACTGAAATACTGGAGGCTCACAAATCTGAAAGAACTGAAGGAATGTTTTATAGAAGAGAAAATTCCTCTGCAGTGATGTGAAAGACTAATAAAATCGTACAGACGAGCTGTTTCTACAAGCTATTGAATCACAGGGTGCACTTCAGGGAGTACTGGGAAAACTTCCTGTGTTGCAGGTGGATACCCAGATTAAACACGGCCAAAGTTTAAGTAAGGAGGTCAGTATATGGACAAGTAATCCATGTGAGCCACTGGATCACATGCTTTTCAAAGCTTCTGTTTGCGAGTCACAGCCAATCAGAAAAGAAGATTTTTTAAATGAGAGAGGCACTAAAACGACACCGTAGGAGGGTATAAGATGAAAAGGGATTAATGTAAACTCTCAGGAATGCAAAGCTACTACAGCAGAATCCAAGAATTAAAATGTTTTTGTGGAAATGAGCTTAACGGGTTTTAATTTTTGGAGGATTTCAAAGTCACCTATTCTAAACTGGGTCTTTCCCCCAGTCCACACTTTGGCTTGTCACAGCAGGTAAAGCAAAAGTGTTACTGTTAACATTATTGATGGCCTGGTTCTATTTTTAGACACCGGGAGGTCACGACTGTATCAGTGAAACCCTGGAACTGAAACAACTACAGCAAATTCTGCCTCTTCTCTCTTCAATACATCCATGCGGCGCCTTCTTGCTTTCAAATGCGCGGCTGCGTAACAAAGCCGCGGGGTTCTGTTTTCCTTCCGTGCGCTCATGAAAGATTAACAGGATATTAAAAGACGTCATTAACGGCAGCATCTCCTCTTTCCTTCTCCGCGTCCACGTCTTGCAAATCTTCCCTCCTCCTTTTCTCGGGAAGCAATTGCTACCTAACTGCCGACGGTCCTCGAGCAGCCGGAAAAATTCTATCAGAAAATCTTGTGCTTATTAAACAGCGACACGCATATTTGTGGTTATTGCTGTGCTCTCAAAGGCGGGGACGTTGATTTCCTGGTGATGACAAATAACGCATTCCTAATGATCAAATCAAAGCTTTCACAGAGGCGAGGAGAAGGAAAGGCTCGATTTCTAATGTCACACGAACGTTAACTCAGCGTGACAGAGACGTCTTATCAAAGACGTCGCTTTGAGCGACTTCATTGTGGGAGCTGCAGAATTACTCCTACCAGCATGGGTGCCGCAGCATCTGTGTCTCACCTGGTAATCCATTCTCTTGATGTTGGGGACGTCCATGTTGTGAGTGGAGGGACAAATATCTTCATACTTCTTACCAGAGAATATGTCGATGCCAACCAAGTGCACCTGCGCACACAAACACACACAGGATGAACAATCTCCTTTCTAATGGGCGTGCAAAGAGAGCACTTCAGCTACCTGCTATCCTCTAAAAGGCATGATTTGCTAGAAATAATATTTCCAAGTTTAGTACATGTAATTTTCCAAGTACTTGAAGAGTTGAAAGCTACAACCCTGATGAGGCACAATGTTTTTGAACAGGCTGAAAGCATCAGTTCATATGCATTAATATTAGTGACCGTGACCTCGCAGTGCTAATTCACCGACTCTCGTCGCTAATTCTCCCTCAGCTGAAGCTCCAATGAAACTTCTTTCAGAACTGCGTTTATACTGTGTCCAGATTGGAGAAGACCTTTTTTTATTACAGTCATTATTCTTATTTTGCGGATAGATGTGTCCCGGCATGAAGATCCCCTGTGTAATTCTGTACATCAGGAATTTACCGACCTTGGCGTGGCCGTGCTTGCCAGTCTTGGAGGTGGACATCTCAACAATCTTGCAGGGTCGGCCTTTCAGGACAACAAAGCCGTTTTTGCGCAGGGCAGAACACTGCATGGGGTAGGTGGCGGATGCCCCAGCATCACCAGTCTGGAAATCCAGCTCTGCATCTGCCATGCCTGCTGCAGAGGCCAAAGAAAGGAGAGTAAGGAGGTGTTTGTACTTAGCATTTCAGCTAAAACTGAATCCAGTTTTAATCTTTACCAGCTTAACCGGTCCTACCAACACTAACAGCTAGAAGTGGGCGGACTGGTCCAAGTATCGGTGCTGGTATCGGTGTCAGATCGATACAAGGATGACAGGATCAATAGTGTGTTTCTGTCTGTAGTGTTTGTGTGAATTGTGGTTTTTTTTGTTTGTGTGTTTGTTTTTTGGAGTGTGTGTGGTGGGGTATACTTCAAACATGATTATGAATAATGCCTGAATCTTTTTGTACTGACTGTCATGTCTATTTTATTTGAGCCTATAGCGCATTTAAACAACGGAAGTTGACCCAAAGTGCAAAATGCGTACCCGAATAAAGAAATACTGATCATTTACGCACAATTTCTTACGTTTAACTCACGAATCCGAACATTTTAACTTTGGGAAATCTTTTTGTGCGTACAAATGTCTAAAACTACTCCTCTCGCATTTGAAATCCATAAGTAAATCAAAGAGGCGTCTCCGTAGGGTGACTTATTAAACCCGCTTGTTGTGAAGCAAAATAAAAAATGTTTCGGTAAGTCACACCCCGGGTGGTAAAAGTCTGTGTGCTCACTCCGCAGTGTACTGCGGCCTAGAGCTCACAGGACGTGCCACGGCCCGTCGGCTGCAACGTCGCTGTACCCCCCCGTATTCATGCGCACTGGCGGCTGCACTCTGGCCGAGGCCCTCCAGATGAAGGCGGACAGCCCGCATTTTATGACCCTTAAACCCTCCGCACCATTAAGGAAAGCTTCTGCATCACAGTGGCGCCGGGAGCCCACACGCCCACAGACGTGGAAATTTGACTGAATGTTGTGCCTGTACCTCACAGTAATGACTAAGCTAATACCATGGCTACAGCAGCAGTCCGAGGAGATGATGCCTGCGAGTTTTTCGCAAAGTTTGTGCGCTGACTGTGAGAGTTCACAGAGGCGGTGGCAGAGTCTGCTCTCATTGACAATTTCAGCAGTGCCTGTTTTAGGATTTGAAGAGCAAAATAAATTATAATGATAATGGCGAAACGGCTATGTTTCGCTCTCCCCCCCTCCAAACAAGAAACAGGGAGAAAAGCGTCAGTGTAACCAGACTGTAGCAGGATGTGATGGGTTAGCGGAGGGTGTGCTGGAGCTCTGGGTAATTAGGCTGCTGCTGGCAGCCCGAGGTTGGGGTTAAAGGGACTATAACAGGGCTTCGGACGGACATGTGCACAGGATAACTGAACTGCTCAGGCGCAAACACGCCCCGTCTATAGGATGTTTTGATTAGGAACTCACCCTAGTGATAATGGGTCTCCTCTCCTGTGTCACTTGTCAGCCTTTCTCCCCTTATTCCTCCTCCTCCTCCTCTTTTGCCTCTCAGTGTCCGTACTAACCGGTCGTCTGGCCCGGAGCCTGTTTCCTCCTTGGTGGCTCGTTTGCGATGTCCCCAAATGTCTCTCTTTTTTTCCTCCAAACAAACAAACAAAAAGCTATTCGCTACCTCCTTTATTCCGCTTTCATTCCGGGTCTTTTAGCACACCTGTCCTGTTCCAGAGAGCAGTTTACCTCGTAAAGAGGTACACCGCCGCTAAACTCAGCCGCCTGGCCCAAAAGAATCAGAGCCCTAAACCCCGCTATGTATGTGCTGGCTGTACCCTGCACTCCACCTTCTCCGTCTCTTCCCTCATCCAGCTCCCCACCACTGTCAGGGCATGGGGAAAAAAGAAGTCTAAACTGCCCGCTTCCCTTTGGAACTATCAAAATAAAATCCCCATCCATGTTATTGCGTCTTTATTGCGCAGTTGTAACCGCTTTTCCAGGGTTTTAAAAAATAAAATACAGCCTGAAGTTTTTTTTTTATGGGATTCTAATGTTTGCAGATGGAGAGAGGGCAAAGGGAGGGCTCGTTATCCAGTAACGTTAGCTAGCACTGGTTAATTAGTTACATGCAGTTAGAATAGAGTGTATACTGCAGTGTAGCTACAGTGTAGCACATTCAATGCAATGTCTACAGTATTTATGGCAATACAATGACATTTCACATCACTGCATGAGCAAGCCTTCTTGATAGGAAAAATTATTATTATTAAGATCTGTTAGAGATCTCTGTGGGCTCACTTGTAAAAATGTATGTCCATGATGTGCAGAAGCCTAAGCCACCCTCATTTCTTTATATTTTGCTTGACTCTCTGAAGGTCTTTTCTCTTTGGACATTGGATGCTTTTTCATTCATTTTCAGAGGAGTGTTTTTGTTCTTGTTGTTAAGCCACTTCACACTGACCTAATCATTCAGGCATAAAAAGTCACCCAACAGACAACTTAGCAAAGATTGTATCTTTAGGGACTTTGTTACAAGCAGCCTGTAACAAAAACAGAATTTATTTTTAGCTCCACAAAATCGATGTGTTCTTAAAAAATGGAGGAAAATGAACAAGTGGAGGACAAAAGAAGAAATGGGCCGGAAAAAAACCGTCTCCCACAAGTGACAGTACTTATATGTGCTGCATTACCCTGTATATTTGTATGCGTTTCAATAAATCACTCCAACTATTCCCCATTTGTCTAGCCAAAATACAAAGAAATGAGGGGTTGCACAAGACGTTGTATACTGCTACAGATACACAATCACACAGAATAACATGACACTGATTTTTATAGAGTGTGAATTGACCAGATTTTGAACCTTTGTTTTTTAATTTTCTGCTTCTCAATAAAACACGAAAGCTGTCTGTGCCCCAGTACTACAATACTACAATTCAATACTACAAATAACATAACTGCTCGTTAAAACGCAAAACCACGTCTCCTTTCACTATTACAATAACATGCTTTTATACTAAAGGGGAAGTTTTGACTTTTCCGGTCTTTCTCTGGCTAATTTATAGCGGCTTGATGCTACTTTCATACCAATGTCCACGAAACCTCGACAATTGGATGTATTCTGCGCATGCGTAGCTTTTCTAGCGCAGCGTGCATTCAGTCCTGCTCTTATTTACCTTGCCCGGTGGGGTGTAGTTCGTAAACGCTACGACCAATGTGTGTACCAAGGATTTTACAGCAGTTTCCAGAGTGCAAATTTTTTTTCCAATAGCAGAAATTATTCCTTAAAACTACCATCTGTTAAATTCCTGTTCCAGAGCTACAGTGCGTTCAGTAGAGCCCACCAGATACACTGTCCAGAAAATACAGTTACATAGAAAAGGTTGCATACAGGACCTTAAACAGGATACAAGTATATCCCCTTATAATTTAACCCGGATCACTGAAAACATTCTTAATCCACAGAGTCAGTGCCGCCATCCTGCCAGTGTGCCTCTCTGCATCCTGCAATTCCCTCTGTTACTAATTATTACTCTTCTCATTAGCGTCTTTTCTCTGTCCAGAGACCCATGGCATCTGCGTATCCAGCGAACTATCTCGTTGAACTTGGCAGTTCTTGGAGCTGCTGGGTTAAATTTAGTGCTGTGAAATTAGAGTCCTATGACCTATGAGGGCTGCAGTTAAAGGTACACTGCAGCTTAACCCCCCAAATTAAAAGGCTCTTATTGTTGCCCCTTTTTAACTTTACGGAAAGTCACAGCAACCTACACATCAAGGCAACAGTCCTCAAACGGGGAAAATACATGTATGGGTAAAAAAATGACTATCGAACCCCTGAAGAGAGCTCATCCACCAATCAAGTACAATTTTAAAGTTGATCCTTGGCCAGGATTTATTTGGTAGAGGTGGGTGGATTGATCCAAATATCGAGAGCATCGATACCAATGCTGATGTTGGTGCTTGAGCAATACTGGCACGATATGATCAATAGTTTGTTTCTCTAATCTAAGTTCAGTATGTAGCCCACAGAACATTGCTCTGTGAAAAATCCCTGAACCTTTTTATGTTCACTGTCACATCTATTTTATTTATAGCACACTTAAACAACAGAAGCTGACCCAAGGCGCACATTTACATTCCAGGTCTCCAGGTCCAGGAATATTATATTGTCTTGTGCACAGACTATCTATGTTGGCTTATTTTTTTAAACATGGATACATAACTGGACAAACATTTATACCAGGTCATGTAATACACAGGCATTTAAATGAATGAAAAACACTTAAGACTCTTTATTGTCATTGTGCAAGCATAACAATATTACACGTATACTGCCTCACATAGCGCACAAATTTAAATAACAGATAAATATACTAACCAAAAATGGTACAAAAGAAGTGTATATATAAGGAGTGCATACATATATATGCATTTACCAAGATCTGCTCCTTTTTCATAATAAAAAGTGAAACCTTAATGAATACTTTCAGCCTGGTTTACTGTCGCCTTCACTGACAAAAATGAAGACAAGGCTTCGTTAAAACACAGAGAGACAGCGCTGAGTGGAACATATAGTCATGCAATTTGTTTTTAAACAGATGACTGAAGTTATGATGTACTTTTTAAAAAAATGCTGTGATAATTTACAACAGTCCCTGGCTTGGCGAAGATAAGGATTCATCGCAGGTCAGGATTAAACATTTAAACTGTTTAGGTTGGCTCACCTTCATGTAAAATGTTTATTTCTGTTAAACTAATGTAAAAACCATCTGTAACCTATTTTTCAAGCTCACTACTAGAAAACTTAACGCCTGTAACTCCAACAAACACAACATAGTTGAATGGTACCAGGCTTCTACAGACAGTGGATGTCTATGTCTTGATTTGAATATCTTGAAAAAAAGTCTTTTCGACTTTATGACAGAAAGAAATTTCAAACCGCAGAGATACATAATAGAGACCCATGGACAACCCCCAGAGAAAATGTTAAACTGACTGCCCAGTTTTTCTGCAGAGCGTTAAATTCCTGCAACAACTACCACTCTAGGTAAACTCAAGGTACCTGCTACTTCACCACTGCTCTGGTTAATCCTGTATACCAGTCTTTACACTTATAAGCATATTACTTATTTTCTAACCTTTGATTTTTAACGTGTTGTAAAACATAAATTTTGTGCTGCCCATTGGTCCAGTGTGCTAACAAGTTTCTCTATCTTTTCAGACAGCTAAATAATATTTCCAAGAGTTTGGGATTCAGTTCTTGGACAAAAGAAGAATAAATTTGAGTTCTCTGGATGACCTTTTACGTGTAACTATTTTTGACCATTGAGTGGGCAAAAATAGTCTGAGTTTGAGTCTGAGCTTTTATTTATTTTTTATTTTTAATCAATTAATTAATGACATTTAAAAAATATATATTTTGAGAAATTTGTTGTTCAGGAGCAGAAAAAAATATCAGAAACTTGTCATTGCTGTATTTACACATGGGGAAAAATGCTCCCAGATCACTCAGAGTTCTTTTGAAGACCTGAAACAGTTTAACAGCAGGTAAAAATGCTAATGTGTATCAGACTGTATGTGTCTAACTTCTACAGTTTCACTGTTGCTGTTATATTGCTGGCAGCTATTGGCTGTCTACATGTTGTATATGCATATTGGGATTTTCACTCACCGATATAAACAGCATTGTATCACAAAGAGACGTTTACCCACTAGCAGCTAAGTTCTGCAGTTATTTATGTTCTGTGAAAAAGACACTACAAGGCTGTGTTTTTAAGCTATAACATATAGATCGATAGAGATGAATGGCCTCTCAAAAACAGACTCCAGACATTCTATTTTTATATAAATAGAACCTGACGATTGCCGATTCAATTTTTATATATATATATATATATATATATGAAATGAAAACAAATCAGCTTCATTTCACTCATGTCTGTCCTCCACCTGACAATTTTCCGTCCCAATTGCCGCCCTCGCTTGACCAATCAGATTCGAGCTCGCGCTTTCGTGGAAACCAATGAGGGCGCGGCTTCCGTCCGGCAGTCCGAGGGGATGCCGGGATAAAAACTTAGCAGTGGCGCTTGGGAAAGTTTCGGGAAGAGTAGGAGGGAGGGGACTCGGGAGTGGAAGTGTAGTAACCCGACAGCGAGCATGACCGACGCCGAGGCGCAGAGCGCTCCACCATCGGCACCGGTGGAAGACAAACCACAGCCGGAGAGGAAAGTTATAGGTGGGTGTAGAAGTACTCTATCCGCCAAGATTTCTTGGTAAATATCCAGAAAACGTTTAAAGTTAGCGCCTTCTGACCGAGCCTGGGTGTGAAACCCAGAATGTGTGTGTGTGTGTGTTTATATATATATATATATTTTACCCTTCCTTCTGTGATATTTCTTGAAGTGTGTGATCCAAGCTGGTTGAATTTGTGTTAATTACAGCAGCCTGGGGTGCCACTGCTGTCTCCGGTGTGGTACTTTTTAGGCAACACGTGTTTGAGGCTGAGTTTTTCAAGTTTTTCTGGGGACTATATTCAAAAAAAAAAAAATGCTTAAACTCGCGCTGTTGAAAACTAAGTTATTTGACTGTCACACATATTGACTTGTAAAGCTCACGCCGAATATTAAAAGGCCTCGAGGACACAGCTGCTTTCTCAAAAAAAAGTTTTCCCCACATGTCAGTCCAGTGGCTGCCTCTGGTTTAATCGCAGGTGTTTGTGTAGGTATGGAGCTGATTCAGACTGTATAGAAGTCCATGTTAACCGAACACTTTGAACGCATGACCCAATTTTTCTTCTTTATCAGCTGTCGTTCACGCGCTTGGTAAGCGAAACACGCGCACGCGCCCTCCCAGCTGCAAATCATTGCAGAAGGAAATTTGGCCAAATTAAACTAGTTTAGACTGCCGTAAAACACACAAACGAGCCGGCTTTGAGCTTGTCTCTGTGAGGAAGAATACATCGTTCAGGTGTCCGTGTGACTCGTCTTGAACTCGTTAATTGTCGGAAGTGTTCCCATGTCGCCTCGTGACCTAGTGCAGGCCTGGTTTCAAAGTCTTGCGGTTAATGATTGATCCATAGAGCTCTCACTTGCGAGCAGGTCACCGCTGATGTAATCAAGATAACGGTGTGAGCTCTGAATGACTACTTGCTCTATAACACTTCCTTATTCTTTTGATGTGCTCTTGTTGTAGCCACTTTGGTCCAAGGCACAGTGAAATGGTTCAATGTGCGTAATGGGTATGGATTCATTAACAGGTAAGGTGTTTCGAATTCTCCCTTATTTTTAGTATTCCTCACATTTTTCAGTCCATTGTTTGCTAATGAAGTTTTATTTCTTGCAGGAATGACACCAAAGAAGATGTATTTGTTCATCAGGTAAGGTCTTTCTTTTTTCTTCATGGGAGTTAATTGTACCCACATTTTTAATGCTAGCCATGTCTCCTCAGACAGCAATCACGAAGAACAATCCCAGGAAATTTCTCCGCAGCGTTGGAGATGGGGAAATTGTAGAGTTTGACGTGATTGAAGCAGCTAAGGTATGGCAAGGACAAAATATGACATTCTCGGCTGTTTAAAAAGGTATAAAAAAAAAAAAAACTGCTCTTGGAGAAAGCATTTCAGGCATGTCTCTGTTCCAAAGGGATCCGAAGCAGCTAATGTTACCGGTCCAGGTGGTGTTCCGGTAAAAGGAAGCCGCTATGCGCCCAACAAACGGCGATTCCGTCGACGGTTCTTTCCCCGAAGCCCTCGGCCCGGCGACCAGAACAAACCAGCCGATGGGCAAGGTCCTGATACTGACCGATCGGGAGAGAGTGAGGGAGCGAGGCCTCAGCAACGCCGCCGTAGGCCGCGCAGGCCACGGCCGGAGACACAAGATGTAAGCTAAAGCAGAAAGACGGGTGTGAGGGAGACTACAACCTTTAGGATGATGCGGGACATTGAGATGGATTGAAGTAGTTGAACGCTTATGTTGTTAATGGCCTTTTGTCTGCTTTTCCAATTTAGGGTGAAGTTTGCGAGCAGAAGGATGGAGACGAAGAGGGTGGTCAGACACAGAGTGATCAGACCCAGAGTGATCAGACCCAGCGGCCGCCACGACGCAGATTCTGGCGCCCATACCGCAGGTAACTTAACGGTCCTGCTTAGATATCCTGTTTGAAGGACTTCTTGATTCTTGAGGCAATTTAATGTGCTTTCCTCGGATTCAGGCCATTCCGTCCTCGCCCACCTCCCAATCAGGCTGTAGAAGACCAGCAGGCGGCTGCACCAGCAGAGAGCCTGGAGAAGAGTGAGCTAAAGCAGCAGCAGCCACAGCACGAGGTGGCGACGGCGGCGGCACCTGACAGCCCTCAGACCAATGGAGAAGCAGGGGAGGGCCAAGGCCAGAAACAACGCCGCCAGTTCAGACGACGCAGGCAAAGGAATTCAGAGTCCTCTGTCTCCAAAGTAAGATATTTTTGATCTTCAGCTATATCAAGATCACTCAGTGAGGAAACTATGCACAGATGAGCTGTTAGTGATGTTTGGGGAGGAAAAGATCAGTACCCACATGAGCTTATTTTTCACTGCCAAGCTGTCCTGGTCACTGAAAACGATTATCAGAAGATATTAAGGCTCTAATGCAAGCAGTAAAATGCTGAACACTTATCGTCACCATGCCCAGCGGATGGGCTGGCGGGCGAAACGCACCTAAGTTTGAATGCAAGAACGAGGTGATGTAATAATAGTAATAATAATGGATTTCATTTATATAGTGCTTTTTGGGGCCCTCGAAGCGCTTTACAAAACACTGGTGGAGGCAAGCTACAGTTGTAGCCATAGCTGCCCTGGGGTAGACTGACAGAAAGGATACCATGGGTGTGTCTACAAAAGTCTTGTACAAGTTCAAATCTCAGGGACCTTGACCTCAAGGTCAGAGGTCACACTTTCTCTAAATCACCTAGGATTTTCAAATTTATAACTTGGTTGCATCTGATAGGGTGCTGGGGGGAGCACTGAGAGCACTGAGAGCTGCCATCATTTTTAAATATACTTGTACTGTAAATGTTTTTGTATATTTTACAGTCAATGTGTTCTCATTGGCTTTAATCAGGATTTGAGTGGAAAAACTACAGTTCGCCTCATCTGAAAATATGCCTGATTGACAATGAAAACCCTTAAGTCCCTGTAATATTTATACTGTCTAGATGGTAGACAGGAGTCCAACTATTAGATGAATTTCTATGGTTTTGTGCCTGTATGATGGTTTAGCTGGATCTTCTGAAGTCCTAAAGCTTTGGTATTCTACTAATATTTTCACGTCTTTTCCATGTATTGAAGAATGATACAGAGAAGTCTGCATCAGAGCCTAGCACCCCACCACAGACCTCAAAGCCATCTGATACAAAACCCACATCAAAGTCGCCAAAGACCTCTCCCAAAATCTCCCCCAAAACGGTAAAATCGCCTGAGGTAAGACATTAAAGTTGCTCTTTGCTTTCCCAGCTGGTTCATTTTTCATTGGTAGGTGTTTTGTTGACAAATCTCAGCTGTGTTCTTCACTTCAGCAGGCAGCTCCAACAACTGTCCCAGCACCAGCAGAGTGATGACCACGAGGATGGTCACACAACCCTTGGCAAGAGGTGGGACCCCACACTAAAGTGGCGCAACCTTGGATTAGACAGGGTGGGAGACGTGAGGGTGTAGGGTTGCACTTCTTGTGCTGCATGTGCAACATTAGCAGTCTGTCACAGAGGGCCTGATGATGGACATTAACTCTTTAGTCAAGTAAATGGATTTAAGGCGGAATGATGGCATTGAAAGGAGTCTTTGAGAACGCTGCCTGTGTTTGGAGTCAGACTTTTGTTTAACACAGGGAAGATTTTTGGCTCAAATTCTGGGAAATTGGATTTTCTTTCAATATAATCCTTGGCTCGGGATTAAAAGTGCCCTTTTTATTTTTTTATTTTTAAATTAAAGGTCTTTTTTTTTTTTTTGGGGGTCTTTCTTTCAATCCATCTCTCCTGCGCTTTCTTTTGTTTCTCATAGGTCCTAGGGTTGGAGGACTGGACCTATTTCAGACCACATGCACTGCTCTCCCCTCCCTGCACTCCCCCAATCCTCCATCCTACCACTTCTCAGTCATCCTTCAGGCCCCTTCCCCACCCCCTCATCTCATCTTGTCTTGTCCTGTCCACACTGACATCTGGAGAGGGTGGGAAGGGAGCGCAGGTTAAGGGGATACAGGTAGTTGGTGGGTGCACATTTAGAAATTGAAAGTACAGCTTTTAAAAAGGGGGAGAGGAAAAAATGGGAATGTTATTCCACCCCCTTAGAAATATTTCCTTTAATAGAGCAGATGGGGCCCATCATGTAGTTTAATTTGGCTTCTGATTAATTTGGTTAAAGAGGGGAAAGCTAAGCAGGTCTGCGATTGGTGATGCATAATGGGAGTCTGTTTAGTTCTGTTAACACCTCAAATCAATTCTTGAAACGTACTACTCCCTTAATCTTCTTGGTTGAGGTTGGATTAGAAAGAAGCTTAATTTCCTTTTTGTTTTACTTGTGTGTGCTTTTCTTTGGAGGGGATTATGTGCAATGTTAATACTTAAAATGCTAATTAATAAATCATGTTTGCAAATCAAGATTCATTCCCTTCTGACTGGAGTGCAGATTCACTGATGCCTTTGTACCATGTTTTTTGCCAAAGTAATTAGATTACTTTTGTAGTGAAGAAATTGAAGGTGTAGAAATGAGGGTTCTTCAGGTGGTTTCATTAACAATATTTGCAGTACTTTCACTCTGGTTACATAACCACTGCATCAACATTCACACTATACAGATTACAGATCTCTGACAAGTCTGACACATTAAAGAATAGACGGCAAACGGCACACGTGACATATGCAAAGAAAACACAACAAAAACTTGGCGATTGTGTGGCACAAACCTTGAAAGTTGGTGCTTGTACTTGGAAATTTCTCGAGTCTGCCTACAAAGCCGAACACCAGCTGGAGTGCGTAAAGAATTTAAAACCTAGACCCTCAAACACACTATGTACACATGAAATACAAAAGGCTTGATCAGAAGTAGCATTTCTGTGGTGCAGTGAGTTTCCTATTAGAGGAGTACTTTCACACTTAAGTTGAGAACACATGTGAAAACTCCAAAATATCAGCGTTTTGGTACTGATGCAGAAAACGCTTTTGGTAACCTAACAACCAGAGGAGTATGAGGGCTCATGTTCAACTTTGAGGCAAAATTTTGTTTCTTTACTGAAACTCATTTCCTCAGAGCACTACCTATACTGAGCCAATCACAACCATGCATCCAACGATAGTTTGTTACGACAGTTTACACTTTGAGGTCACACCGTACTGCGTCACACTATAATCCGATTGGTTGCAGTCCTGTCCTGTCAACATGAACTTAGAATTACCTTTGCTGTAATTTGTGCAAATGAAATCATGTGGACAGAAGCTGGCAGGCACAGACCATTAACTGTCCAGACTATATGAATGTGACACTCGTGTCCTGGGATGACCCCTCCATCGGCTAATATCTGGAGGAGTTCAGAGCAATGTCTGTGAAATCAACTCCAGAGGCATTTTGGTCCGCTTGATAATGCCCCTTGAGAAATTTCAGACTGGTATTTTTACATTGATGCCAGGTTACACTTTGGATACATGAACATAGCACATAAAATCAGTTTCTAAAAGTATAACATGATTAAATGCATCTGTTACCTGTTCTTAAAGAACAAAAACACTACCTACCCATCATACTACCTTTTCTACATCTGCTTTGAGTAAATAACGGCTATAAATACCAGGTGTTACAGACACACTTCATTTGGCGCCAAAAAAGATTCAAAACCCACAGTGTGTCGACGTGATTCCTGTCATTGGAGATCAAAAAATCAATTCATATGTTAATCTCTTAAATGTGTGTTCCCATCTTTGGTAAAAACAGGCATGCTCCATCACACTCCTGGCTGCTGATCCTATTGTTTCTATGCCTAAAAACTGTAGATATCTGTTTATAAAGTGCAGGAATCCCCAAGTCTCTCCACACCCATCTGTCAATACTGCAACTGATTGTCATCACCATGGAATAAAGTCTTATTGCACTGGCAGTCAATGCCAGACAGGCTGTTCTTATTAGCATCTTCTTCCCTTGAAACTACAGCAGTCGACCTTTACTCCACTGGTTCGTAGCCTTTCAAGTGAAGCCAGAATTCATAACTATTAACCCTGTACTGCAGTGCTACCACCAAAGGACAATTCCATAACACCCAAATTGTCACACACTTTTAACACTGCTTTTTCACCACAATCTATGTGAAAAAAAAATAAAGATCTCAATATACATATTAGCAAATAAAAGTTTGGTGTCATGCCCCTTTACCCAACTTTTCTCAAGCTGAGCTCAGTTCCATTTTTCTCAGTTCCATGGGGCATCTTCAGTTCATGGTATCCTCCCCCAAGTAGTCCATCTCAGTGCTGGGTTTGTCTATGTCCATACCCATGCCTATGCTCATATCCATATCCATCATCCCTCCAGCTGAATGCTGGTGAAAATTGGCTGCAATCTGGTCAAAGGTCTTGCCCCGTGTCTCTGGTACCCGGAAAAATGTGAAGATGAGGAAGAACAGAAGAAGAGCTGCGAAGATCAGGAAGACGTATGGCCCACAGAGGTCCTGCGGAAGGACGGGAAGAAGGTCGGATTATAAAGAGTTGAACTTGATGCCACATGCCTCTATTAACCGGTCAAGTAGCGGTTTTCATGTTTTCATCTGTCTGTCCAGACTTAACTTTTCAAATGTGAATAAAAAATTTGATTTTGTAAGGTTGGTGACCTTTAAAGACCAAAATCTAATCAGTTTATCTAAGAGGATAAAAGATTGTCGAGCCAAAAAAGTATAACAAAACTGAAGTGGGTGAAAAATGGAAAAGCATTTGTGGACATGCACAACATCCATTGTGGATACTCACAGCGACATACTGGAAGCACATGCCAATAATAAAGTTGGCAGTCCAGTTGGAAAAGCCTGCAACAGCCATGGCAGCTGGCCTTGGACCTTGAGAGAACAGCTCAGCTACAAAGAACCAGGGGATGGGACCTGGGCCAACCTCAAAGAAGGCCACAAAACCAAAGATAGAAAGCATGCTGATGTAGCTCATCCATGGAACACTGTCCTATAGAGCAGAAGAAAAGTGGGTTCAGATGTTTGTGGAGACTAGAAATCATAGATAAAATACCGAAGTCTGGAATACCATAGTCTGGATTTTATTTATTTTCCTTTTTTTTTGGATCGGGGTCTTACTTACAAGTAAAGCAAGAGCCACGGTCATGATGACGGCACAGATGCACATTCCACCAAGTCCTAGCATGTGGAGCGTCCGTCGACCCGTCCTCTCTACCAGGAAAAGCTGTTAATATGAAGGTAAAAGGGGGGATGGGGGGTTAACCTCAGCTGACATTTGGAGCTAAAGCATTTGATTTGGTCAGATTCTTTCTCAAATATGTATAACGTCAGGTCACTATAATGCTAAAACCACCTTTACCATATACCTAACTGCAGTTCAGGACTTCTAAAACAGTGTTAACCATAGTTTAACAGTGATTTTACAAGCGTGCGCTCATAAAACAATCTATTGTATCAAATTACAATAGTCGGTCTCTAACCCTGAAGCCGTGGCACTCTTACGGCTAAAGTCGTACATCTTTATCCGCTTGATGACACTGAAACATTTTGACTCCTCTTATCTTGTTTACCCTTTGATAACAGTGTTAAACAGTAATAGAGTGACTCTGTGACAGGGCGTGAATGTTTATTGTTCCAAATTCAAAAAGTTATTTAAACGCTCCCAAATTGAATTTCAAAAGTGCGATAAAGGCACGTCGGTGCGATTTCTCACCGAGACTACCGTGAAGGCACAGTTCACCACCCCGGCTCCTATGGTGGCATAAACTGGACTCTGGACTCCTGCTTTCATGAAGATACTGGTGGAATAGTAGAAGATCTGCCAGAGGAGTAAACAAATTTAGGTCAATGTTGAACAGCACTGGCTCCTGATTTTAAAGGACTGCTTGTTTCTGGAACTTTAGGTGAGTCAGTGTAATTTGAAGGACTCACTGCATTAACCCCCGACAGTTGCTGGGAGAGCTGCAGGAGGATGGCGATGATGATGGGCTGGCGGTAAAGCGAAGAGCGAAAGAGTTCGGGTATGGACACCTTCCTCTCCATGTCCATCCTCCGCTTCTCCTCCTTCATCTCTGCCAGCATGTTGCCCACCTCCTGTCTGCCTGTTAGCCTCCTCAGGCCTGCAGAAAGTAGAAATGTAGGAAGTTTTTTTTTTTCATGTACAAAAACTCATCTGACATTTTAGCAGCTAATTCTGTAAGTCCAACTGATACTCTGTACATTGAGTCCTGTAAATGTCTGATAAACCCAGACATCATGAGTGCGGAGTTGATCTGACCGAGGAACTGGAGACACCACACAGTATGTAAAGGCAAAGCCAAATAGCCGTGGTTTAAACTATAACCTGATTTATCTACTATTTAACTCACCGTGAGACTATGATTTACAGAATTAGTTAAAAAATATTTAAAAGTAATTACTGAGGCCATAAACTCAGCAGAAAAAACAGTTTACTGTGGTCAGAGATAAGACTTTGGTAGAATCAGACTTCTTTTTGCAACCAGAGGAGTCTCCCCCTGCTGGCCAAAAGAAAGAATGCAGATTTCAGGCACTTCGAGTTAGTTTCGCTTCTCAGGTACAAACATTAGTATCCATCAGTTATATATAAGAAAGTATAAAGTGATATGGGTCAAAGTGGGACAAACCGAAACACAGTAGCTGACTGCCCCTCGCTGAGCTTGGTTGAACTGAAGGTTTCTTCCTGTTAAAAGGGAGTTTTTCCTTCCCACTGTCACTAAGTGCAGTTTTCTCTTTATTAATGTAAGGTCTTTATCTTACAACAACAAGTGCCTTCAGATGACTGCTGTTGTGATTTTGCGATATATAAATTGAATTGAATTGAAATGAAATTGCAAAAAAAAAAAGATCCTACATTTCCCAAAATGCAACTCAGCAGCTTATTTTATAAGGCCCTATCTGCCTCCTAATGCTAAAAATCCAGTTAGTGTAGAATTTAAAATGTAAAACTTAGTTACATAATAAGAATAATAATAGTAAAGCAAGACCTTAAAATAACGCAGCCCTACTTACCACTCTTGGCGTGGTGCTCCTGACACCGGACGATGTAGAGGAATCGGGGGCTCTCGGGGCAGAAGGGCAGCAGAGCCATCTGAAGTACAGTCGGCACAACAGTTAATCCCAGCAGAACAGGCCATAAGTGCTCACTGCCGAGTAGCGACTCCAAGCCGAGGACCTGCACAGGGAGAGGAAGCAAGTTTGAGTGTGTGACATTTCAAAAGATAATATGATAAAGCACCTAAAGACAATCCTTTATAGGTGGAAGTAAAGGAAAAGACGGGGAGGTGCACAGACAAAGAGAATGGATTTGAGGATTCAAGATGTGTTTTTTGTGAGCAGACTTTTTAAACGTGGCCTGGAAAGGCCCACTGAATGTCGGGGACATGGAGACAGAGAGAAGATGCCGATGCTATTTATAGACGGTC